GGCTGACGCCCCCGTCTGATGCTCCGTCTCCAGATGCTGAAGGAGAATATGCTTTTACTCTCTGAGTTGGGGTCATTTGAATCAGGGGATTGTAATCGTCAGATTTGCAACAGCTGCACCTCCCGAGCAAGGGTGAAAAAACAAAACAAAACAAAAGTTAACACCTATTCGCATGGCGTGCTTATACGGACAGATTTGAAAGCATTCCAGGTTTAAACACGGGAGAAATATCAACAGGAACCGTAATAGCGGTGACCAGGAGAATTGACAGCTGCCATGGATCGACAGCATGGCTAACAACATGGTTGCTGATCTATAAGACTCTATGCATTTACCTCCTCCAGAGTATCCGTACCCAGCTCTTACATCGTTCAATACTTCTGAGACCTATACGAGGAGCGTGGAAACCTTCTTTTTCTGCTCAAGTCTGCTCACCGTTCTCCCTATTCGGTCCCGTTCATCTGGGGGCCTAGGGCTTCTTCCAAACATTGCTGGATGACGAAGAACCATTCGATCTATCACACGGAAGCCCAGGCCAGCCCACATGAAGTAGCACAAACTCCTGTCGAACCTTGTCGGAACGGGAAGCTGCTTGGTCATGATGCTACAGTCTGGTGAAACCCGCGACACCAATAATGAGTGTGGCGTCTGCCTCATACACTTCCCAAGGCCCCCAGAGATAAACATGCTTTTTGGCCTGTATTTTGAGGGCACCCCCCAAGTAAGCCAGTACCATCGCTACAACCCTTCTTTTGCTAGCGTTTCCCGGACCTTAATGAGCCCGAAATCGTGGCGTCCCCCCCGTACTCGCCTTCCCAGTTCAAAGGAAGTCTAGCTGACCAACAATTTCCCATGCAGAAGTGAGACTGTAAACCAGCCACAACCAAGTAACCAGATACTCCGTAATGTTTGCTTTCTGGAAACAAGCCTGTATTGTTTGTCGCAGCTCGATCTAGAATGGCATATCCCATCAAGCCTGCCATGTTCTATTGACCCCGACAGTGTGCAAGCTAGACGGTGAATTAAACATAAAAGTCGACTTTGAAGAGTAAGATCTAGGGATGGGTTAGTGATCAGATTTCTGGTCTCATTCAGTGTATGTCTGCTTACACTCACCCAGTCACCCTATCTTCCGTGCCCCGCGCCCACAACTTCACAATCATGAGCTTTTTGCCCTTTTGTCTCTGCATTTAGCCATAATGACTCCATCAGTTCAGGCTCTTCAGGATAGACTATGTCAGGCCGTCATCCATAGTCTGTTGCACCCCCTTGGCTTTCCCTTTCTCCGCCGTTGCTGCCTGCGTGACGGTGGCATCAACAGCTTTCCCAGGTTGAGTACATCCTTCCGGTACTCATATCAATTTGGTCTCACAACTATCGAAGAACCAAGGGAGAAATCAACATCACAATACGCCCCTTCGCAACCGCTACTTTGCCAGAGTTTCCTCAGCAAGTCCCACCTACCGGAACCGACGTTATCTCTAGACAGCTACACTTGTCGCATGCCACATCGATCTCGTCACGTCGACCACGCCTTCTCTCCCCAATCTTATAGATGAACCAGGTATCTATCCATGGGTTAGCCACGTGGATTCAGCCTCTCACCTCGATTTTTGACCTTTACAATATGTTGAGACATTCACTGCAGCCAGGCAGCTGTCAGCTGATCCTTCGCCTCTTCTTCCTGCGTGGCCTCTGACCACCACCTCTTCCAACCACCCAACCCAACCACCAACCATCTTCTTGAGATCTAGATAGATCAAATCTATATATCTTTGACCCTTCGTCTTGACACAATACCATCCTCCTTCTCATGCAGGTCTGCCAGTAGCAGACGGCATACAGTTTATTTTATTGAAAATGCTCTGGTTTGATCACATCATCCGCTGACTCAACCTCATAAAACGTCAGTCGTGCCTTGAAATCCATCCTATCGACTCTGATAAATGAGATACCCCGGGGAGGTGAAAAAGCCAGCCACGTTCATGGTAGAATGTCATGGGACTTTGGAAGGGCAACGCAGCAGATTCTGTTCGTGAGGGCTGGTCATTCCGCTGGTTTCGAGCTTGAAAGGGGCTCGGAGAATCTCTGTACATATGTAGACATGTAGGCAATTAGATGAGGATTACTGCTGAAGTACCTTTGTTTTCGCATCTGGTTGGTAATAAGTAACGTCAGATAGAAACTGAGCTTTAGTTGGTTGCCTGGACAGGTTTTCAGCTGAAAATGTATCTTGACGACATGTATTTCGTGCAGGAAAGTGTACTCTGGTGTGTCTACTGTGTCTGACGGCGGGCCAAGGCCTTCTTCTCCTTCTGACCTAGTAGAGACGGCCTCCTGAAATGTCCGAGGAAGGTGTCGATCAGACGCACCGGGAGAAAGGGTTCCTCTATTCGATCGTGCACCCGGAAAGATGGCAGCGTGGTAGTGCATCAGATGCAGCCTGGAAACTTGTGTGACCATCCTAATCACTTCTTACTTCACGCAAAGGCCACCTTGCGCCATATGTGATCTCTTGGTGAGTAGGCATTCATTTCACAAATTGTATCATGGAGAAGCCTAATGAATCTCCCTCTATATGCTGATCGGGCTTTACGGCTATAAACATAAAACAAGGCCTGCCACGTAGGTTCCTCATGACTTGGGCTGACAAGAAGCGTCGACCAGGACCACAGGTCTATCATAATCCATTCACTCCATCTTGGAACTGATGCAAGTCATATTCCTCAGGATATGTCTCCAGTATCCTCTTCAACTCCTTCATTTGAGCCTCCGCCTCCTCCGTCAACTCGTCGTAGACCCCCTCAAATGCTTCCCTCAACGGGGGCTTCTTCTCCCGCTCTGCCTCTCCAAACTCCCTGAGCACCTCTTTCCGGATCTTATCACGCATTTCACGTTCTAGATCCTCGCTCCAGTGACCCTCATTTTCCAGCCACTTCCGCAACCGGATAATCGGGTTATCGCGACGTTTCCAGTCCTCGACTTCTACCCTTGCCCGATACGCAAAGCTATCATCACTGGTGCTGTGATGCGATACACGGTAGCTCATTGCTTCGATGAGGACAGGTTTACCTCCATCTTGAAGGGCGAGACGACGAGCTTCACGCATTGCCTCGTAGACCGCGAATATGTCGTTACCGTCCACCCGAATGGTGTCAATGCCGTAGCCAACACCACGGCTGGCGATACCATCACCCCTGTATTGTTCTAGTGTAGGGGTGGAAATTGCATATCCATTGTTGCGGCAGACGAATACCACGGGACAGGACCGCGTCGCGGCTATATTCAAGCCCGCGTGGAAGTCGCCTTCGCTGGCGGCTCCTTCGCCGAAATAGCAGGCTACAATTCGCGCCGGGGTATCGGGGTTCTGTAGTGATTGTAACTTTAGAGCGTATGCAGCACCGGAGGCTTGAGGGATTTGGGTTGCAAGGGGGGAGGAGATTGTGTGCTAGATATATGGTTAGAATGCGGTTGGGCAGGTCGTGTGGAGGGGACGAACTGTTCGGGGATAGTTGCAGCCATAATGAACGGGCATGTTACGGCCTTTACTGTTATCAAATCTATTCGCAAACAGTTGGCTCATAAAGTCTTTCAGAGTGAAGCCGCGTTGTTGGAAGACGCCTGCTTCGCGGTACTGGGCGAATACTACGTCGTCGGGGGTTAAGGCTGCAGCGGATCCAACGCTGATTCCTTCTTCACCAGCAGATACCTAACGAGGTCAGACTTCAATATTATTGAGGTAGTGATGGTTCTGAGCATACCATATAGAAACTCAGTCGACCCTGCCGTTGCGCTTCGAACATGATGACGTCCATGACACTTACTAGATGCCGTCAGATCATGAAGTAGGTAGCATGATAATATGAGATATCCCCAACCTGTCAACATGTTCTTGTACCATGTCAAAATTTCCTCCTTTGGCACATCGATGGACTTGCGCGACTTATCGACGAGTACTCCGTCGGAGTCCATGACTCGGTACGTAGGGATATTGGACATTTCGGTAGGATTGATGAAGGTCATGTCGGTGGTAAATTTGCTATTGATCGCGCCTGGAAATCGGACACTACTATTGTCAGCTTGCTCTATGCTCCCTATCATCGCTCGGTTTATGTGAGTGACCTTACCGATCCGATCCAGGGCGCTGAGATATAGAATTGCTCCATCGCCGTGGAATCTTGGAGAGCGGTTGGGAAGAGCGCCAAAAGCGCGTTGACCGCAAAGACTGCATGTTGGAGATAGTTGCTGAAAGAAGGGCCAGCCCTGGGTGTTAGGGATATGTGATGGCCTCTCCTCATGATAGAAGGGCGTTATTCTTAACTCGAGGGATGCTGGGAATGCGGAGGCCGGTTGGCGTCGGTCCTTAGAGCGGGTGATTTCCCCACCCGCCGATATCCGAGCCGGGGTAGAAGAGCTTTAGGCTGTGTCCAGCAACTGCGATAAGCGACTTTAAGTGTCTAGATAAGGAACGCTTTTTCTCTTCTTTTCTGCTAAACAACCCTAATCGGCCCTGGTGTTTATTCCACCTGGAACAAGGCATAGTATCACTAAAACCTATTTGGAGACTTGGATTAGTAGTACTGGATCCCGTTTTATTATGTTTTCTTCGATTTTCTTAAATTGTAAAATCATCTATTTATCCATACTCTATATTACTAAATATATTTTTATGTTTTAATCACTCGTCATAGTTAATACCCTTTGGTATAGCTCGGTCCGCACGTGCCATGTTCAATGGCGGAAGAACCAGCGGCCCCGAAAGTACTAATTACCTAGACTACTAGTTGCGGGCGGAAAGTGGAAATGCGGAGTAACATCACGTGCTATGATGCCAGGCATCGGTTATCATCGGGCGCCGGTGTACCTGGGATAACAACAGAGCATTACTACTTACATACTCCCCTCCCATCATCCATCCTGCAAGCCGGAATGCTACATCTAAGTCCCTCCCTCCGTTTAATCTCCCTCTTCTATCCGTTGAAGCCGACACCGGGTTAATTATGAATATTTTGCGCTCAACTGGGAGCTTGTCCCGGGCTTTCCAGCTATGCCACGGGCCAAGGTCCCTGCCAGTGATCCGGTGCCAGGCACGACCTCTTCCTCGTCGGGGATTCCACGCCGCCGCCTCTCTGTGGGGTGTGAAGTCTCAGGTACTGAAAGATGTTGGCGAAGGTAAGATAATTTTGCCCAAATGACCGTCTTTCCACAATCTTTTGGTCATGATACATATATATACCCTTCATTGTCGGTTGTTTACATTACATTTCCCACAGGGATAACGGAGGTCCAAATAATCCAGTGGTATGTCGAGGAGGGGGCATACATTGAAGAGTGGAAACCACTATGTCAATACCAGTCGGATAAAGCCGTTGATGATGTTAGTTCATGCCTTCTTAGAGACACGCTCTGGAAATTCAGCTAATGGCCATAGATCACTTCGAGATACGAAGGCGTCGTCAAGAAGCTCCATTTCCAAGCAGACGACACAGTACCGACAGGAAAGGTAATAACAACTACAGTATACCGTAGCATGAGATGTTCCTGCTAATCATCCTCCTTCCTATAGGCGCTCTGCGATATAGAAGTTGAGAATGGGAAATATCCGGATGATAACCCGCCGCCTGTTCCAAAGACAGAACCGATAGAACCAACACCGGCCAGGTCTTCTCCTCCAGAAGCTCCGTCAACACAGCCTACACAAACTACTACACCTGCACCAGTAAACAGCATCACAAATAACAAGCCGAGATCACCTCATGCAACATTGGCTACCCCAGCGGTCCGTGGCATGCTGAAGATCCACAATGTGAACATTGAAGATGTACATGGGACAGGCAAGGATGGGCGCGTCCTCAAGGAAGATGTGCAGCGCTTCATCGCCGAGCGAGACCAAGCACCTTCAACACAGCCCACTGCTCCGGGGGTGCAAGAAGAGACCGCAGTCAAATTAACACCAATCCAGAGTCAGATGTTTAAGAACATGACAAACTCCCTCAGCATCCCGCAATTCCTCTACGCTGATGAACTCAACGTTAATAACGTAATGGCCATTAGAAAGAAGCTAGCCAACGACCCCAAAGACCCCCAAAAGATCAGCCTCCTCTCCTTCGTCATCAAAGCCATGTCCCTGGCTTTGAACGACTACCCGCTTCTCAACGCAAAGATCGATACAACCGATCCGGCCAAACCACAATTGATCATGCGATCAAAACACAACATCGGCGTCGCCATGGACACCCCTCAAGGCTTGTTAGTCCCCAATATCAAAGACGTCGCCAATCGCTCTATCCTAGAAATTGCCGCGGAAATCATACGCTTGAATGCACTCGCGAAAGAAAGAAAGCTCACACCCGCCGACCTCAGCGGTGGCACAATCACTGCCTCTAATATCGGAAACATTGGAGGTACATACGTCGCACCGGTAGTCATACCGAACGAGATGGCCATCCTCGGCATTGGCAAATCCAGAACAGTACCCATCTTTGATGATGCTGGTCAGGTTACAAAAGGCGAGCTCGTGAATTTCAGCTGGAGCGCCGACCATCGCGTGGTGGACGGTGCCACGATGGCCCGGATGGCTAATCGCGTCCGGGAACTCGTCGAGTCACCGGAGCAGATGCTGTTGAACTTGCGATAGCTTATACATAGAGTTAACTCCCTGTCTGATGCCTGCATCTGCGGTAGTGATTAGCGCCGGCTCAATGCCACATAGCATAGATGACTGCAAATGGAAACATGTATTTTCGCCCTGCTTGGCTTTGAGCAAGCTGGGCTGTCAGCCATTGGTGTCCATACCCTACATCCCACGCTTTACATCGTAAAACATAGAAAGCACTCGAATGGCACCAAGGCCATGGTCAAACAACAACGTGATCGAATCTTCGATCGCATAACTAATCCTCGAGTAGCAAGTCGGGGAACTCTCATCTAGGTATTAGTGCTCAATTGACTGGAATTCAAATTTACATGCTTCTATAGTCATTTTGGAACAGACCAGCCTGGCTGAACTGACTAAGACGCCTTGCTGCAGCATTTCAAAGGATAATATAGCAATCGGTTGATTTTGATTTGCTTTGTTAATCTATTCTTTACCCCGCGTCGGCGGATAGCACGCCACGTCGGAGGGTTCTGGAGGTTTTCTCCTGGCTTTTCAGCCAAACAACTCTATATACAACAAACGAGGCCACGGCATCGCAGTCTTTCACTGCCTATTGCATGATGCAGTTTCGCTATCACTTCATTGCGACATTCCAGCATCAGTGTTGTTGAGTTTGATCCGGTGCTGCTGGCTAGTAAGTTCGGTAATCCGCTGACTCGAAGGGTTGCTGGCACCAGCCATACTTGTTGTAAAGGATGGTATGACGAACAGGGGGTGCTTCCGATTGTCGAGTTGATGTATGCCAGCGATGCTATGCTGTCAGGGGCGCAAAAGCCAAACAATCTTCAAAAGATGCCATCTATTCACAATGTACCATCGTCTCACGTATCGTTTCTCATCACAGCTTCAAAGGGTCAATAGCAGAAGTGGGTAGATTTATGTACCAATAATGAGAAGTACTCAGACCATTCTAGCACGCGCTAATGCAGATGCCTGAATCAGAAACCCTGGTATCACGTCCTAAGCCCAAGCATCACAAATGCGAAAAGAGGATAAAAGAAAAAAGAAAAAAAAGTATGAATACAAGAAACCGAAAATAATCGAGCATGGCGGTCGTGAAACAGCAAAAAGTGTTCAGGGGAGGTAGCAACAAATCATTGCATGCTATCTACAAAAGCCTTCAGACGGGAGCTGTCCTTGGTCGCGATGAAGTAGGTACCGCCGACGTCGGTCCAGCTCACACTGTTCGACCAGTAGTTCCTCTGCTTGACCTTCAGTAGATTGATGGGCGAATTGAGATTGCGAGATTGGATCTTGTGTCCCGCGGGCACAAAGGATTTAAGGGATACGATTTGACACCCCTCCTTCATATCCAAGAAGTGGTTAATTAGCTCGTTATTCAATTGGGGGGTGAACGCCTGATTGTTGATCAAGATAACATCAGCGCGTTTCAGAACGTCGATAATGCTCTGCTCCTTTAGAAAATCACCCTTAACGAGGTGCGTCTTCCCGGGCGCGATGCCCCATAGCCGACATCGAGACCTAAACTCGGCCTGCTGCAGCTCCGCCAGGTGGGCTGCATTGTTCATCATTTCACAGCCCCAACTCTCACATCCAATCTCAAGCGCCGCCTGGAGGACAACGTTACCGACACCTGAGCCCAGGTCGACGAAAACCTGACCGGACTTTAGCCCAGTCTCCTTGAATATCGTGCTGATGAAGCGCGGAAGAAGTTCTCCGTACACGTTGTCCGTTCCGTTCTCGTACTGGCGAAGAGACTCGACCCGAGGTGACACGGTGCGCGAGTAAATCTGATTCAGGATCCTTTCCACGTGAGGTAAATTTAAGCGGCTCGTTGAATCCAGTTTCTTCGCGATACTGCCATCACGTCTTAACCGCACAATCGCACTATTGTACTCCGTCACGACACTCCGAAAATCCGCTTCTGATGAATGGGCAAGGGCGCGTCGTAGTCTGCGTTTTATTCCAGTCGATTCATTGTTGAATTCGTCTGCCTCTTCGTCGGGGATATAATTCTGTGACACGATGTCGAGGACTTGAACGATATCATCAATGGGCTTGAAATCGTCGTGGTCTCGAGGGACCACAAGGTCGTATCTCTCCGGGGAGGAAGTACTGGGATACTGCAGGAGTAGCTCCGGTAGCGGCTTGGCTGCGCCAAACGCAGGCTTAAAGTTGCCGGACTTCTGGCGCGACGTAATGTCGGCAGCATGTATCATGGGAAGGGACCGAATGCTATCTTCGGAAAAAGCCTTTAAAGATCGTACGCGCCTAGCCGGGTCTGGCTCTGCGCTGTCGCCTGTCCTAGCCCGTTTGCGCACCTCGAACGAAGAGTCCGTGTCGCTCGCGTCGTCATCGCTCGAAAGTCGTAACTCCGGAGTTTGGCGCTTCCGACTCTGCGCTGGTGTGCCATATCGCCTTTTCGCAGAGGGAGGGTCACGGTCCCTGGAGACGGATCTGCTTGCTGATTGTTGCGCTTTGAGCTGAGCAGGAGGGGTTCGAGAGGAGGAGGGACCTGGGGTCTGGGAGGTGGATCGCGAGGCAGGGGCGGTTCGCGTCTGAACAACCTTTCGGATCTGAGGCTTCTTCGGTTGTAAAGAAAAGGCGCCTCCTTTCTGGAGGTGGTCGAAAAATCCCATAAGGCAAGACGGGAACGGGAGAATCGTACTATAGGGGAGCGGGCGGTGAAGGTAAGGACAGCGATGCGCTGGAAAGCTATACACAAGAACGGAAAATATAATATATACGGCGAGGTAGGATATGTACGACAAGACAACAAACGGCAAGGGGAATAAGTTAGCTGGGTCTAGTGAAAAGAGAGATTCATGCAAGATGCACGCCCGAACCGCAGTGGCACCCACGAAGCGGGAGGCGGAGAAAGTCACGGTCCGATTCCGCCGAGGTCACCTGACCCGCCGCTTTGTTTACCATCGATTCAACTACTACGTAACTTAGTATTTATTATGGGTGCAACAGTTGTGCAAACACGCCAAACAGTGCAAACAAGCTCATGATATCAGGAATCGCAATTTAATCCATTATCACAATAATCACCAGTCGAACTCAATACCCATACAATTCAATCCAGCAACTGCGCTTCACCACCCTCAAACACCACACAATCATATACCCACCACTGTCTCTCTCCAATACCGTCTGCGACTCACGCATTCTCCATTCACCCTCTCACGCCCCTCCAAACACCTAGACATCATCCGCCCACCTCCGACTAAACCCCGAGGCCATCAATCGAATCACAGCAACTCCCCAATTGATTCACATCCAGACCCCTCAAAATGTCACCACCACACGCACAACCTCCTAAGGCGCCCCCTCCGCCCCAAACATCCCGTTTCCGAGTCCTACCCCCCGATCTAGCCAAAGCGCGCCGCACCACCCCTCAACCGCAACAACCACCGCAACAACCCCAACAGCCCCGATCCCACCCCCGCCCTTCTTTCTTCAGCCACCTCCGCAACAGCTACGCCTCTCTCCCTCGTCCCTTTCGCTTCATGGGCACCCTCCTCCCCCTCATCCCCATCGGCCTCTTCTTCTCCGAGCACGTATGCCAAGTGATGTGGGTACGCGGACCCAGCATGACGCCGTATCTGAATGAAGACTACGACCAAATGCAGACGAAGAGCGATATAGTTCTTGTGAACATGTGGGGTGGGGGTGGATTGTGGCCGTGGGAACGGAAGAGGAGGTTGGAGAGGGGGATGGTGGTTACGTTTCGGTTTGTTTATCCTTGCCCGTGGTGGGTTTCTGTGGTGGTAGTCTTCCTTTTTACTAATGGTACATGTGTGGTAGATCCCCCGCGAACCCCCGCCACATGGCCATCAAGCGCATTATCGGATTACCCGGAGACCAGATCACCACAAGAGAGCCCTGTCTGAAGGAGTCGCAGATTGTGCCGTATAATCATGTATGGTTAGAGGGTGATGCGAAGGATCCGAGGAAGACGCTGGATAGTAATTCGTACGGGCCGGTGAGTATCAGTTTGATTACGGGGAGGGTGATGGCCGTGCTGCATCCACAGTGGAGGTGGTTGGATTGGTCGGGTTGGGAGAATGGGGTGGTGGAAGGTGATGTGGAGCGCAAGTTTGGGGAGGATTATAGACAGGAGGTGCGCGATCGGGTGGTGAAAGAGGCGGTGAAGTTGGAGAGGCCGTTTTTGGAGTGAATCATATGTGTTATGTTATGTACAAGTATTTACTGGTATGCGCTGTACATAGACGGTTGATTTTTTTGCTCTGTACATTTAGTGTTCCTATAGAGAAGCACCATGAAGCGGTAGATCTGCCTGCAGAATTTACTATATATTATACTAGTTAACATTCCGTGTTATGTGATTATCCGCACATCCTCCGGTTGATCCTCCTGTAAGCGATTAATCTCAGATGCTATACTCAGCACCCAACGATCCTTCTCTACGCGACTGCGGGCTTTGAACACAATCGTTCGCCCGTGGACACCGAGAGTCGACACTTGCTTAATCTTTTGCTTCGTCTGGCCCTTAACTCCATGCTCGCGCGCCCGGAACAGGTTCTTCTTCAGTGGCTGCCAGATGACGAACGTGATCGCCGCATCTTCATCGCTACTTGTGTAGGCATCCGATGAGAGATATACGCGGGGCAGGGCATGGTGGCCCGGATGGTTACTGTCGAATGTTTGATTGGTGTATAGCAGGTCTGAGTCTGTCATCAGACCAGAGTATACATAACAGTCTTGGAGATCGATGGAGGTCTCCAGGTTTTGGTGTATGTGGGGGACTTCGACGCCGTTGCGCTTTCGGAGGGAGCTGCGGAAGATCAATAGTTTTCCGGCGGTTAGGACAACATGGGTTTTCTTGAAGGTTGAGTGGCGACGGGGTTTTCGATATAGATGCCCAGATATCTAGAAATTTACGTTAGTTTTGTCGGAGCATAATAGAGCAGCATAATATATACCTTGATTGGACGACAGTCTGACAGGACGCAGATATTGTGCAGTAGAGGCGACGCTTCCGCCTTCTTGACCTCCCATTTCTTAGCGAACTGTCCCATGATGGATTCCAATTCCTCATCAATCCCCAGAAGTTTGAGGTTGCGTTGCCGGAGGGCCTTGAGCTCAGCTGCATCAGTCGCGATTCTGCACTTCCAGTATTTCACTAAAGCTTCGAGCCGCCTCATCCACTCGGCCTTAGTCACGTCATTGTATGCCTGAAAGCGGACCACGAGGTTGTTGTCCAGAAGCATCTCAAAGGTTCTGTCATCATTGAATTGCTGCGTTGCACCGTCATCTTGGCGCGTGTCTCTTGCTTCGGGATTGAATGCTACATCTGGCCCTGATTCAATGTTCCGATCGGCGGGGCAGCTATCACGTTGCACATGTCGGACCTCTTGTACCCTGGTGAGATCGATGAATCCATCAGCGTGCTCAATATTGTGAATGCTTCGCTGGCGCTGGACGTAGGCTTCTTCGTCATGAGTTCTGATGTGGTCCTTGTTGCCGCTCTGCAGCCAAGAGATATCACCGTCTTGAAGCGGATACGGATCGACATCGTAAGAAATAGGTGATGCATCCAGAATCTGTTGCGTTGAAGGCATTTCAGTACCATCGCGGCATAGTCTCGGAGGCGCTGGGGGTAGTGACCTTGACGGCCTGCAGAAGAACAGATATTGATCCTGGGTGAAAAAGTACAGCCGCTTGAAGAACATCCTGTTCATCCGCTGATGTACACCCCGCTGGGATGTCAGACGCACCAAGAAGCCTTCTACAGGCTGAGGCTCGTCTTCTCTCTCGCCATTGTGCTTTATGTAGGTGTGATAATGCTGCCTCGGGCGTAGTTCAAGTTCGTGAGTCATGTGCATAGCAAGAGAGCCATACATCTTCTCCTCGTTGGCGCCCAGGATCCATTCCAGGCGATCGTACCGTTTCCAAGCAAGCCCCATGATTTCAGTTTTGGACCACTGTTGTAAGACCTCGGCCCATTCAGGACGATTCTCCAGCATCTTCAAACACCCACGTACTATAGCCATCGCTGGTGATTCTTCCTGAGCTACAGCCCGGCTGAGGATTCCAGTACCCTTTCCCTTCGAGTCCAGAGCAGCCTCCAACTGTTCAAAGGGGTTATGGAAGACAAGAGATACGCCCAAGTCGGGAACATGGATAGGCAGCGAAGACGGCCGCCGCTTTCCCATTATCTGGCTGAGAAAGGTAAACCATTCCACAGCATGCGTGGAGGACTTTGGCCGAATTATGTAGATCTTCGTCCCACGCTTACAGGGACCCCAGAGCACAATTGCCTTGTCGAGATGCGAATAGAGGTTCACATTCATTTTCTTTCGCCCCAAGGGTATTTGATAATGCGGGGCGACTCGCGTGCCTGTCTTCTGCACTTCAGGTATAACACGGGTCTTGTACATTTGGAGACAGAACGGTGCATCTTCGTCGGAAGCGAGACGGCATGCCACCAGGTACTCTCGCCATTGATCCACAACCCTGGTTTCCATCTTCAGACTGTCATTCTCCGAATAGTCGTCTGGAAGCTTTTCCTGCACCGTCTCCTCGAGTCGAACGACCATCTTCTCGGCTTTTATAACCTCCCCTTCTTTCATCTTCCGTCTGTACGGCCATGTTCGTGAAAGTTTAGCATGCGTCCTCGACACTCGAGCCAAGATTCTTTGTTGTTTGTCCAGCAGGTTGTCATCAAGGTTATGCTTGGCTGCCCGTTTCGAAAACGAATGTAAATGGTCCCTCTTCGATCGACGGCGATGTCCGTTCCGGAGGGGCTCCTCTTCTGACGTCTCGACCTGAGGCTCCTGTTGTTCAAGGTTGGTAGACGATGGAGCAGAGAGTCTTCCTTTCCCTTTGGATCTCGAATCTGGCCTTAGCAACGCGGTCGTGGATCCATAGTCACTAGCAGGTACCATGGGGCTTGACTGACTGGCTCCATTTTGGCTAGGTATACTTAGCGTTTGCTTACTTAGTCCCTCCCCGGTCTGATCCAGGTCCATTGTACCGGGCCTGGAGGAGGCTTGACCGGCATCGATTGGCTCCTGTTCCCTGGCTGTATAATATGCGGAACTCCCATCCTGTCTCCTCATTGACGAGGCCAAGTCGCGTTCACGTTTGTTGTCGCCCGAATCCGAGGGCACAGCTTCCGAATCCGTAGTAACAAAGGAAAAATCATGATCTTCTTCCAGGGTATAAGGCACAGTACGAAGGCTTTTCCGTGTCGGTGCTTCTGCATCACTGCTCTCTTCCTCCTGATCTCTGTCCGTCCTCTCGTCCTCGGTGGTATCTGTAACCGGCTCCTGTTCCGGTGTCGAATCCTCACGGTCGGTCTCAGGCTCCTCTGAATAATGCGCAATGACCGGGTCCGCTGAGAACGTAACCGTCTTCGATGAATATTTACTGAACTTTATACGCGTCTTCCACCATGATTTGCGGTGATTCTGCAGCCAACCCTGGGGGATCGGTCCGATGAAGAACCTCCTATTGGTCATGTGTATGTGGTGCGGAGAAGCATGATGCTTCACGGATCAGTGCCATTTCAGAATATTGCCTCGGAACTAATAGAAGAACGTACAAGCTTTTGAGCAGTGTGCGACTCCGGATCTAGACCTTGACACTGGTCCAGGTGAAATGCGACGTGTGGATCAGTCGTCATGTTGTTGTCGCTGACGTCCGGGCGTATTCATTCAGCAGAATCCTCTTCCTATTTGCATTGCTGCTAGTGACTGATCCCACAATGAGGTTCTCATTGCGGAGACAGCACTGCTTCGAGCGTCCCCTTTATAAAGTTGCCTGAAACCGACCACTCTCCTTCGTCATAGGGAGAGGCCCGCTCTCACATGATCTTGACACGTGATTTCACTGCAGCTCTGATAAGCTTATCGGAAGCTGATGGATTATGATGATTCAAACTACTACAGTTCTTTGTAGCTAGCAGCAGAACTGTGACATCAAGATGGAATTCTTATCTTCCTTGCTTTCGAGCTTTGAATTAGACCAGTACTAGTAGTATATTTACTCCTGTTGGTAAAGGTACTTGCAGTTGCAAGACACGATAGCATTAAGCATGGGGGAACAAGCTGAGTCCCATGTTAACTATGCTGATGCTGGTAATGACGTCATAGTAACTGCCAGCTGCGTTACAAAAAGAGTAGGAACCTGAACTGCCAAGGCGCCTCTAATTTCCTCGATCCACCATAAGAAACCCCCCATCCCCCCACGTTTACCCCTGTAGTAGTAGTCTATGCATTAATTGTTTATCTATCTAGCTATCTTTGTTGATAATCATTGTCATATATGACTAACGTGATGGGCTAGACCGCTCCTTGTCACACAGATGTATCCTACCATCCAATACATGTATGCCATGCGCCGAAGTTGGTACTTCCCAAGTCGGCGGACCGTGATCTGGGCGACCCGTCTTTTGATGGCAGCATGAGTCTTCAAGCCCAAATCTCCTATCGTGCCCTAAGCTCAAACGAGGGGAATATTCGTTGGGGGAACCCTTTCAGCCGTTGGGGTGAAGGAAGGCATCATGGAACATCAGGGCCTAGTAGGAGTCCAACGCGAGAGGGGGTTGAGTCTACTGAAAACTCTATTTTCTCCTGATGCTTCCATGCCTGGGCTCGCATCTCGACCCTCCCCGCCGCCCGTATGATGAGTGCGGGCATCATTACTGACTGTGGTCCTCTTTGCTTGTCAGCTATCCGTTATGAACACTGCCTCCGATCACAGTAGGAGCCATGGAACTGCAACCACATCCAGGAAGTGTCACCCTATCCTAATGCCTTGCCATGTGAGCCATCGGTAATTGAGTGAGTAGAGTCTGTCAATCCATGGTGACTTGGTGGCCACGCAATATCCCATGTTACCCCCACGTGCTGGCTGGACTCCAGAAAGCCCCCGAGTCAGAGTCCGCTGTCATGAATACAAAGAACCAAGGCAACATGTGCGGACCCTTTCAGCACATTGTTGTTACTCTGCAGACTCTCGGGTCGCAACTACCAATAAATTGACGACGGTTTTCGGCTGTTTGACATTAGGTGCTACTATGGTGTAAGCCACGTTACATTGCTATCCAGGCGGGCTATCGATCTCGCTGGCGCTGCTGAAGTACTGTGACGTTGAATCGGACGGGCACATCGTTTACTTCCCATTCACGGCATTCAGTAGTACCTTTTCGTGTCTAAACGGGCCAACAGATGGTCGAAGACTGTCGCAGGCTCCTCCTTGGCAGTGAACGTCGTATCCCACCGATCTAAAGACCTCGACGTCGACTTGATGCCTTCGATACTGCGTAGATAGCCAACAAAGGCAGAGGTTTGTTTCCTAAAGAGATTGTACAATCGACGAACAGCAGGCTCAGCCTCGTGCCGTACACCATTAATCCCGTCCAGTTGCGACAGCGGAGCGAAGGTGAGAATCGTTCCGAAGATCTCATCGAGAAGAATTGCGACCTCGGTATGCTTTTTGCTGAGAAAGAGAGCATAAAGCATCTGATCTAAGACGTCTTCATGGTAGTCCCGCAACCTAGGCACTGAGCTGGCCGCTTCGACTGTACCATCGATGTCATGTCGATCAAGACACGATTCAATATTAGAAAGCGTCTCCTGGAATCGTCGCCATGTAGAACCAATGCCGACATGAAAGCAGTAGTCACTTAGGGCCAGCACAAAATGCTGAGCATCGACCCGAAATTTCTGGATCACATTCCGCGTATCACCTGATAGGGAGTCTCTCGCAGTTGAGTCTCGAATGAGACTTCTGACAACTGAATCCATGCGTAGCAGTCGAAGCAAATGCTTGAAGAGACGGTCATATTTGTCAAGAGAACTCGGAGTCAATATGGTCTCCAGGACAGGCGAGGGTTTATATTGTAGACGAAGGAAATCAAGCGCCTCGATGGCATTTGGGTCCTTACATTTCACGACCTCTTCATCTGTAAGGTCGCGGATGGAGAAGCTTAGGCCACCAGGTAGTTCCTTTTCATTCCAGAGGCAAGAGTCCATTGACGGGTCCAGGCGTTTCTCCGCATCATGGCACTCATTGAGTAGTCCCATGAGCACCAGCCGTAATTCTGAACTGGCTGGAGGCCATGTATCCCTGCTTCCCAAGCGCAAACCAGCGTGAACGTCATTCCTCACTACACCAGCCTTTCGCTCACCACTTTCCATGTCGGGGTCGAAAAGGGAATCAGAGAGACGAGAGGTGAAATAACCATCACCAAGGAGCTGAAATCGCCATTGGAGGTTGAGGTGGGTTCGGAGATGATGCTCTTTGAATAGTAGATGGAGACACGAGAAATCGATCAACAGCGCCTGGGAGCAGAGAAGAGGCGCCAATGATAGGTAATATGATGAAGTTATTTCAGGTCCGAAGCTGCTATGAGCTGCAGGTTGTTCGGCATGGCAGTGGACATTTCCGTCAACTAGACAGCCAAGCCTATCCCGAGAGCTTCCGTCCATTGGTAACAGCCCCGTGGTATTTGGCATATTATCGAGGTCAAAGAGTTCAAAAGTGTCCGCGAGCACATCTGACTCCCCAGTGGGCTCGGAAGCCTCTGTAACGAACATTCTGTCTGACCCTTGATGCATATCACCACGGTTATATTTGAGTATCTCAAAACGTAGTCTAGCTTCGTACTCGGCGGCCTTCTTTTCTATCCTGGTGATATCAAACCACGTACCTGCGCATTCAAAAGTGGGTGAAGTAGAATGATACATCTCGTGATTGGCGACTGGATGTTGTGGGTGATGTGTTTTGAGGAGCCTGAGGCTTCGTCCACTCTCGAAAACCAAAGACGCCAGATCATTGGGGATGAGGGAGGGCATATTATCAGGTAGATATTTGTAGTCAACCCTCGGCATCTTTGTGGTCTTTCTAGTTATCTCCTGGTTCTCCGCGACAACAAAGCTCCTACCACTGGAAGCCAGCTCTACTGATGCCGCTGTCTCTGGACAAAGGCCAACCCAGATCTCTACTTGCCTCAGCCAAGGCTCGGCCACTCGACTCACGATCTCGCGTAAGAGAGGTTCTATATGGTCGAATAGTTGCGAGAAGTGGGCGGCTCGTTCAGAAACAACAGAAATTATCTGTGCCTCGGACATTGCAATATCAACTGCCTCGATCACATTCGCCAGGACGTTCACCACCTTGCCGCATTCACAAAATAGCGCCTTGATCTGAAGGAGAGAGGTAATACTAGCGAACTGTCCGACAAGCCGCTTTTCAAGTGTATGAACAACCACAGCCGCGGCACTCGCAAAGGCCGACCGAGAAGAAAGTTCTTTTGTCCTGCTCGGCACTTTGTTGGCAAAAGCTCGTATTTTCTGCATGTTTGTGCCACACTCAAGCAGCTCCTCGGTAATTCCATTTAGTGCAACCGATGTTACTCCAGAAATCCGAATATTGTTGTGCACTCGTTCGAACCGTTTATTTTGTTCATTGTAACAGAAAAACATGGAGCTCCACCCAAGCCCAAGCTTGAGCAACGCCTGGAAGAACACATCTCGCCGGACCATGAACCTCTGGGTTTGTGTTCCCACCTTTGCAGCTTGCCGTGCCAATGCAGCATCAAAGCCTTTCGCACCCGATTCGCTGAAATATGCCGAGACAGGTTCGCGATATGTCCTCTCTCGGTATTTCTCCCATGATTTCAAAAAGTCGCAGCGCTCTTGCTTGATATCCTGATTTCCAAGTGCCCATATATCCTCCAGTTCCTCTTCAACGTTCTGCTGATCAGTAGTCGCAATAACTTCATTTTCACTTGAAGTAGCAGTATCCAACACTAGCGTCTGATCCGCATCTGATAGCTCGGTACCGAATGGATTTAGGCTAGGAATTTCGGTGCCGAACTTGTCGAAGATATTCAATGGAGACTCGAAGAAAGCACTCGAAAGGTCAGGCAGCTTCTCATCCCACCCCAAGGGCTCCAATGGCTGTAGAGACTGTAGGGTAAACTTGGAGATTCTCCACAGGCCGTGGCTGGAGAACGGGTCTGCAAGAGAGTCCTCCGGATCCATCGTCCTCACGCGATACCAAGTTGTAGATGCTGTACAGGGCAACGGGTCGCAAACGATCGCGTAATCGCGGGAATCGGAGAGACCGGTCCGGCACTCCGGTAGAAGCAGGTAAAGGGTATTTAGGGGCCGGCACAGCTATAAGATGCAATACTGGGTCAGTACGATTATCAAAAGTCCTTCAACGCGGTAAACAACGTGGGATGACATACGGTGAGATGTAGGTGTGGGGTCAATGTGGTCGCAAGTGAGTACAGGCGTCAGTGAGTTGAACCATATAGCAAGAGCACCATCTTAAATTCGGAAGCGCGGCAACTAGAGGAGAACCGCGTCGCTGCTGCTTGTATGGCTATCGGTATTGTGTATAGAAGCTGGCCGTTGAATTGGCTCAGAAGTTCGTATGCAGTCACGTGGCTCGATGTGACTATCTGCTGATAAAGCCGATAAGGATCACGATAAGGATCACGATAAGGATCACTTGTAAACTATCTACTATATTGTACGAAGGTCTTGGACTCTGGCTAGGATGCACTCAGTTCACCTCTGCAGGAATGACGCTTACGGCGGAATGTGATTATCAGGGAGGATTACTGTGCCGGTCCATCGCGCTGGTTGGGGCTGCTCTCTAATTCTGTACACAGAACCTTATTCGACACTTCATGATAGATTCGGCTCTCCACGACATTATACCGAAGGGGTGGATTACCCACGATGTGCAGCTCTATACAACTACCTCGTCCAATATGTCTGGCTCGCAGAATGCCACCCACTGGTCAACCGGTAAGACTTGGACCCAGCTTCCTCCGGAGACTTTCTGGGAGGGGTACGCAAATTCATAAGAAACCAGTCACGAAGACGCGTTATCAAACAAATACCTTTTCCCTAGTCATACTATATAGAATCAGACTCAACCTTTGCAATGAAACCGCTATTGGCCTATCAAGGCACAGGGCAGACATTTACTGTAAGCCTGCTGTAGTCAAACATTGTTGTTGTCTGTCAACGAGGTGGCGAAGCTGAACATATAGTCTGGACGATTACTGAGGTAGATAATCTCTGCACCACAGAATGTGTCGCATTTCTCAGTTCCCGAGAAGATAATGTTGCAAGTGTCTGTGCAGAAGTGACCATGATCCAGGGCAATGTCGTGGTCAAAGTGAAAGCTGCTTCAAGGTAAAATCAAAGAAATTTTTTTATATTTTTTTTTACCTATTATAGATAGTACCAATGACTGTACCGACTGAATTTACTACTCAAAAGTCTGCCAATTCTCCGTCACGATTATAAGTACTAGTTGCATCATATATATTAGGAAAATTGGTAACGTAATATCATTATTACTACTGTATGCTAATTATATAGAATATTGATATATGAGTAGCTCGGGATATGTATAACTGATAACCGAGTCTATCATGGATAGAACCGGAGTGCTTGCTGAGCTTTGACTACTAGTAATAGTAAGAACTGAAATACTCTGGCAGTGAGCAAGTCCCTGGGCGCCCCTGTTAAAGCGGCCTCATCCACATAGAAAATGTCTCGTTGAAATTAAGAAAATCATGTCTGTATAGGTACATATGTACACAACCTCCCCACACTGCTTGTTATCTGATCATGCAGCACCTGTCTATTATATTTACAGCCTTGAATTTTGAATTTGGCCACCTGCCCTGCCACAACTTATGCAGCATCTAGAAGCCCGGTGCCCTATGCACACAAACCGGTGACTCAGCCGGAGAGCACATGCGTCTTCAGCCTCACGGCGAGAAATCAATGCTTCAGGTTATTCGGGCCAAGGTGCCCTCAGCGTTCTCATATGGCTGACGGGCGTTGTAGGGGCTGCATCTGGCGTGCTAAAGAGCTTTCTTCCTGTGGGTTGTGAACTCCCTGGATGGCATCACATAGCTATAGCAGGCTCTGGCAGGAACGATCATTGAGTCGGTATACTCGGGCTGATGGCAGGCTTGCCATTCATAATGGCTTGTTCCTTCTTCAGATTCCTGATCATTGCTTCCAGCCGGCGACGTTCTTCTTGTTCCGATTTCAGGATTTTCATGTTCTCAATACGCGTGTCCCGCATCATCTTCTTGAACTCATTCTTCAGCACCATCGTCGATGTGCTCTCATAGTGGCCATCGCGTCCACTACCCATCCAGCTGATCCGTTCCTCATTAAGCTGAGTCTCGAGCTGCTCGCAACGATCCCGTAGAGCGTCAATAACGCTCTCGAATCTCTCGCGTTCTTTCTCGAACTCGATACTAGCTTTCGTCATTGCTTCATAATCGTCAACTGTCTCGCGCAGTTCCTTCTGGAGTGCATCGACCCGGTTCTGCAGGTCGCTGCTGCCAGGCTTTCCGGCCTTAAGCGCTGCCAACTCCTCGGCCAGTTCCAGGTTTCGGGTGTTCAGCGCATCAAATTCTCTTTGGATGGCAGGGTTGGCCGTGATGTCGGCCGCACGCTGGGCTCGAGATCCATAGGCACCGTCAAGCTCGGCCTTCGCCATTGTCAGCTCGGTTTGAGTGCGTACAACCTCGCCTTCCATCTCGGTCAACTCCGCCTGCAAGCGCGTGGCGTTCGCTTCGGCGGTGGTGCGTGCCTCGGTAGCTTGTTTAAACTGCGACTCGAGCACCTCCACATCCGCTCGAAGCTGGTATAATAAAGTTTCCAGGCGTGAGACCTCACCTTCCGCCTGCGTGCGTGCTTCAACTGCTTCCTTGAGCTGGGGCTCCACTTCGGCGCGAAGTTGACCCAATACAGTTTCCAGGCGGGCGACCTCGGTCTCTGCCTGTGTCCGGGCTTCCGTAGCCTCCTTGATTTGGGCATCTGATTCATTACGAATCTGTTGCATGGTCTCCTCGAGTTGCAAGATCTGCTGTGTCGTGTGTTCGTGCGCTTGAGCGGCCTCCGCCTTCGAAGCTACCTCACTCTGCAGTTGACTGATGGTCTCTTTCAACTTTGCAATCTCACCGTCTGCCTGTGCGCGGGCTGAAGCAAGCTCTTCGGCATGGGTATCAGCTTGGGATTGGAGGTGTTCGAGACGGACCGCCTCAGCGGCTGCAATTTTGGCATCGATTTCACCTTGACTCTGGTCAAGCACGCCTTGCAGGCGCGTGATTTCGGCCTGGGCCTGGGAGTGCGCTGCAGTGAGCTCTTCCGTGCGAGTAGTGTGCTGAGACCGGAGTTCTTCAACATGAGCTTCAAGTCGAGAAAGTTCGTCCTCTGCTCGGGCTCGCGCGTCGTGAGCCTCGGTGTGCGATTCCTTTTGGCGCTCGAGGTCCTGAATGATACTTTGCAGGCGTTCGACTTCCTCTTCAGCGTGCGCGCGAGCCTCTTTTTCGGATGCCATAGCACCAGAGACATTCTCCATCTTGTGCTCTTCCTTATGGCCTTCTAGCTCCTGCTGCAGAACCTTGAGCTGTTCCAAGGCCTGCTCTAGCTCCGCCCTCGACTGCTGACCTTCGCTTTCTGATAGTTCAAAGTCTTTGCGTACATGGGCCAGTTGTTCGACTAGTTCAGCAATGTGCGCGTCTCTCTCCGCGTCCGATTTGGAATTGAGTTCTCTCTGTTGTTGGATTTGTGTCGTGAGGATGCTCTTTTGTTCAAGCAGTTTGTCGATCCGTCCTTCAAGCCCACTAATTCCCGCACTGAGATAGGCGAGGTGTTCTGCCGCGTCGCTTTGAGATGAGTCTGGTGGAGGAGGCAACGTTTGAGCATGCGGTATTCCAGACTGTTGAACAACGCTGTACAATCGCGCGTTAATCTCTTCCAACTGCTCGTGATCGTAGTCGACACCCCTGGTCTGGGACGGACCGCCGGAAGCGCTCGAGCCAAGCATGTCTAACCCTTCTTCGATGTATGCGAGGTGTGCTTCGCACGTTGCTGTAGGATAGTTTGGGTCTTGACCTGGGGAGGGTTGCGGAATTGGCGCCAGACCGCTGTCTGGGTTCGACTGGAGGATCATGTTCCGTAGTCGTCCACTTAGATACTCCAATCTTCGTTCTGTGTCTTGGATCGCCTCTAACCCGGCGCTGCCCAAGCCACGTCCATTCCGCGCCTCGGATCCATAAGCTTCACCCATCTCCTCGATCGGTTTGTAAAGGCTGCGCTCGTCGAAGTCGTGCATGCTACCATGCATATTAGGGCTAGCGAGGGTCTCGGGCGTATCGGCTATATTGCCTTGCAGGTTTTTCTTCAGGCCCTTATGTGTCATTTGCAAGATCCCAGCTGTATGCTCCAGCAACCTGTTGTTGATTTGCTGTACTCTCTGCTCCAGATTCCAGACCTCCTTGGCCAGCTCTTCGCATTTCCGAGTGCTCTGCGCGAGCTCTTCTTCTGTCTTATCCGGGGAGGAGCCGTTGGGCCCCAGGAAGCTCCGACGAGAATCGGGGGACGAGTCCAGATCATATTCCCCGCTCGCACGGGAGCTCTTGGTGGTGTAAAGTTTGCTAAGCGACATGGCCGCATCGCGGAGCTTCATTTCCAGGGCCAGATTCCCCTTGGCAGCGTTCAACCTGCTAGACAAGAATTTGTGCTCCTTCTTCAAGCCCTCCACTTCCTCCAAGGACAAGATCTCGTAGTGTGTGCTGTCGGTCATGGCGGTCTCGGTCAATAGGTACATGGCGACGGGGTCGTGGGCATTGCGCAATGTTGAGTTTTGTGGGTTTGTGGGCTTCGGATAATTGTAAGGTGATTTCTCCACGGGTTGCGAGTTCAGGGCGTTGTGGTAGCCATTCATCAGCACGGTGGTTGGCGGCGGCTGCGATGGTTCGCCATAGTAGGAGGCGGTGTTATACTGCGTCGGTTCGCCGTAAGACGACCGGGGAGAATGTATGTCAAACGTACTCATGATAGCAATTTCAGCGTGAAAGACGGACTGAAGAAGCAAGCAGGAGGTCGCAATGGTCAATTAATCTGGCGGATCAACAAACAGTCGCCATTCTCCGCGGCAGTCGGAATACCGCCAGAGAGATTTCAGGACTAAAGTGATTGGGAGGTAGATGGATAGATAATGATAAAAACAATCAGTTCATGCGACAAAGACAAACACTATTTGCTGACGAGTGGACAAGGAAAATATAGCGCACAAAGGAGGAGGTGGTGTTGGGAGCATGGAACGGGAACCTCCGCCAACGAACGGGTTCCCCCAGTCATTTGCTGTAGACTATCTTTCTTACCTTATTAGTAGTACTCTTCAGCCCCCGGACGGGAGCGGCTGATGTCACGTGATTGATTCAGGGGAAACCCACGGGAAGCAAAGGGGATGGAACATTTCTATACATTAGGTGATCCTGACAAGATTTACTACCCAACCACCAGCTACCATCAACGGTTGGCAGTACTACAGGGGGAATACTATTGTATACTATGTAATAATTGTAGTATATGCCATATGCCCCGAGACGTTCGTCTGCAGTTTATTGAAGTGGACTCCCGGCCACATGGGCAATCCAGGGGTCACGGCCCGAAGCAGCCCCACAATCAACGGTATTTTCACGGCTACATACGTAGATTCATTCAGGTACAAGCTATTGGAGGGCTATCATGATGTGTTGTATGCATTGTCATCCATACTACCGTGACCTTTTCCAGTAGAATGAATCATACTATGAATAGGCAGCTTAGTAGTCTGGTCGTGGACACCTGTTAACTCCATTGCATCGTCAGAATCAATTTGTAACCTTGACGACCAGAGTATATATATATAGATTCGCGCAGTGGCTAAGGCCAAGGCAATTGGACTTGTGAAATCATGCTGATACTTAGCCTCCATAGTAATCTAGTGGTAAGTAACTTAATGCCAGTATCATTCACTCGAAGCAGCCACCAACGACTACCAGACTAATCCCCTGTGGCCCACCGAAACAACCGATTCTCCATCAACGCCCGCTGATGACTTGGCCGTAGACTAATTTGCATATCCCAGTCTCCCGTCTGGTCTGCAGGCAGCAAGAGGCAAAAGTCTTCAAGCAAACCAAAATACAACCGAAAGCCCGCAATCTTGCTCAGACTTGGACCCCAGTCTAGGTCGTGAACCTTCAGGTGTCTGATGCTAGAATATGAGAAGTCTCCTCCCTTGATATTCATCTGGCTCCAATCACGTTGTTTTTGCATATGAGCGAGTAGCCCTCGCACATAACCGTCATCAATCTCCTGCAACTTCTTGCGCATGTTCATAGACAGGTTTGTGATCTGCACTAGCTCGTCTTTATCGAATCCCAGCTCACTTGCTACAATAGCGACCTTTGTCTCGTCCACGAAATTAATCAACTCGGATTGGGAAACAAGCACCATGGTGAGCAGGACGCCCATGTAGTGCTCAGGCCAGGGTGGACGCATACGGGAACGGAGATTTGCGACGAATGCGACGGTGTAATCGTGGTCAACGTGCAAAGCGGCTTCGACAGTTCGCGTCTGCTGGAGACAGATAGATAGAAACGCGGTGAGCACATCGTTGCTTGAAACAAAGTGCCGGAGCTTCTTGCTCAGCATGTTGTCTTCTTCGAGATGTGATGACAGCACAGAAGTGCAGATGTCCTTCAGGATTTTGATCTTCCGGGTAGGAAACCTGAATCGAAATGTATTCAACTCGGAGGCCATCGAAGCAGTGGCCATGGACCAGGTATCCTGTTCCAGACAATGAAAGGGCTCCTCAGGGGTGTATGTCTCCCAGAACGTCTTTAGCGGTTGTTTTCCTGCAACACAACTGGGCAAGGATAACTGACGGCGCAATTTCAAGTCGAACCGTTGGGGGCCAAGGTGCTTGCGTTCATTGCGGCAGCACTCCGCCAGTAGCTCCAGAATATTCCCAATTCCTGTGCCGTCTGCAGCAATGTGGTTGAAACTAAGGGATAGAATGACGCCATCGACCATGACATTCGCGACGAAGCGCAGTATGGGCTGACTTTCTTGGGGATCCATTACTGTTGGCAATGGGGCATATCGTTCGGAATATTGCAGGTCTTCGACCCCGGTACATGATGCAGTGGCTAGCATTGAACGGACTGATTCGTTCAGGTGATGTCTAATTCGAAGCATAGGTATGGACTGGGACTTGGCTGACGGGGGCTGAATGCAGTGGACATTGTCATGGTTCTCAACGTGGGAGGGTCCCACATCTTTTGCTAGAAATGGAACTCGATTGATCAGGGTTGTAAGACCCTTTTGGATAGACTCAACGCCGGCCTGTGGATCCTTTAGGAGGAAGGAAAGATAGAAAGTGAAATACACCTTGGGCACTGTGTGATCCACTGGCGAGAGGAGCTGGGATGATGAGTCTGGAAATGTCATTTGCTTGGTGGGCTGCTTGGGGCTTGGAGTAAGATTGAGAGTCCTTACACTCGAGTGCGAAGGGACGGTGCGCCCCTCAGATAATAAAGGGTCAAATGAGCGTCGTGGAATTTCTGGTCAGTGGTGAAGTGAGGTATGTACTTTGGTTCAGACCGTTCCATGACACTATACGTTGTCGTGATCAGAGCACATGCAATTTCCGTCTACATCGAGAAACAGGTTACAGTTGTCGTCGTGGCTGGCTGGTTGTTGGATACATCGTATTGAGGGATCCGCATAAGCATGAGAAGAGTGAAATGCCGATTTGATAGGATGTTCCATTATCATGGAACCAAGCGGCAGAGTACAGCTCGCAGAGCAGTTGCCTGCGCCTATTTGGCCATTGGTCCCAAAGCTGGTTTTATGGTCCGTGGATTGGTGTATCAATAGAATCAACATTACGACCAGCACTTTAGAGCCCTGTGTGAATATCATCCACTGTCACAACTCTTTTTCAGATAGCAAACAGGTAGTACTATTCTATTGGTCCCGTGGAAAACCTTACCTGCAGTTTCATCCCAAATCCTGATTGTAAGTCTGAGTTTGCCTTCAGTATAAAGCTTATCTGTACTGTCCACAACTCCTGGGGTAGTATTCACACCACCTTTTGCGGGCTGTGACTGAAAACGCGCTGTTTCATGTCATTGATTGAGCCTCCAGGAAGCAAGTAATGACACTCGGAAACGCTTGGACGGAACAATGATATTTAATCGGTTAGCCAACCCAAATGGGTCAGATACATACATGCTGATATGGCTATCAAGTGTGAGATCACAGCTGATATCAAGCAGGTTTCTAAATGAAACCTTATCCTATGCATGGTGCCCCCAACGTGTCAGTTCCATGGGTCTTCTTGACATAGACAGGATCAACAGCAAGCCGCTTGCCTGGTTTGGAATCTCGGGTATTACGTTCCGCTTAGTATTTTCTGTGCTTAGGAGTTGGATCAAAGTTATGTATTATTCGAGGATATAAATATATGCAAGCTAAAAGAAACTATAAGGAAGGGTGTAGAATGTTTCCGGCCTAGTTCCTCACCAATCCAAGCATCCCCAAAGTTGAAAAAAGAACGGTATACGGGGATACCATAAATTACAGATTTCCTCAGCCGGAACGCTAGGCAAGGGGACTCACGTTTCGGGTATCATCTGGCAGTAAGCAAAGGAAAGCCAGGATGGCTGAGAAATAATATCCGCCATCAACTAGAAGAGATCACTACCACCCAAAGATCTCTCCTACACTCAAGGTGCTCCACCGCACACCAGCCACGGAGAGAACGATGAGAACAATGTCCACGACTCCTAGCACGGCGGCTCCCATCATGAAACGAGGGCTGAAGATCCGATACAGCATGAGATGCCGGCGAAGATGGCCAGCCCACATGGTGGTGGCCAGGTTAATAGTCGCAAAGTAGAGAATGTAGGTGCATGCGGCTCGCACAACATCAGAGAGGAGCCTAATCGAAGGGTTGTTGGACTTCGGAGATGAAGAGGATTGGTCGCTGAGTTGGAGAGGGCGTTTCCAGAGAACGGTGAGAGGAACAGCGATTGCAGTAAGAATTTGTGCGCCGAAGGTATTGAGGATCACAACAATTGGGGACCATGGATATTGAACGGAGGAGAGAGGGATGAAGGCAGTCTCCCATTGGATGCTGCTCAGTGTAGCCTGGTGACCAGTCTTAAAGTAATAGAAAGAGCCGAGAAGAGCCAAAACGATCGGCCCAATAGCTGAATTGCCAAGGACGAGACCATTGGTATCCAAAATTTCTAGCAGTGAGAGAATTTGCCAAAGTAAAAGACCCATGGCACCCTGACCCATGGGTTTCTGCAGAAGGATGATCCCCAAACAGAAATTGACCACGAGGAGGAAGTAGCGAGTTCCATGCACGTTGCCAAATCCGAGGATCGTAACGGTGGTGCGTCCTGCTGGCTGGGGTGGCGCGAGGTTTTTGCCTTTGCTTTCCGGTTCCGCGTTCCCTTGACTGACATTAATGCTGATGCAAGGCTTGGAATAGATGAAGGCTGTTGTCCCAGCGGCAAATGCGAGAGCTAGCACGAGCTGGGCCAAGAACACCCTAACTGACTTCAATGTCTCCTTACTCAAGGGCAGCCACTCGCCATCATCAGCCCCCTCAAGCACCCAGAAGACGGAAGTTATGAAGAGTCCCAGTCGGAACCCTAAACCAATCCAGAGAGTAGCGGCGCCTTCGTAAGATTTGGATCCGGCATAAAATGACCGTACAACAGTGGGAAGGATAAGCGCCACAAGGAATGGTACAGCGAGCTGCCAGGGTGCAGAAGTCGAAGAAGTGGCAGATGCGTAATACGTCGAACGGCAAAAAGGCATCTGCTCCTCGCGGCACAAGCGAGAAAAAGATGCAATTCTTCCGAGGATGACGAAGAGGATGGAGTGATAGACGCCCAGAACCCTGTCGGCAGTTGATTTCTGTCGCATCGAGGATACGCCCGCAAGAACACCGAAGGTGGAGAGGAAAAACAGGAGAATCTCATCCTCCCAGATTGTGTAGGAGTTGGAGGCGAATCCGATGGACTGCGTGAGCGTGAAGGTAACAGCCAACCAGCCCCAGAGACTGCTTGGTAGAGGCAGGGACACACCAGCCGACCCGGCAAGAATGGTCCATGAAGCGCCAACTATGCTTCCCGCGGCGGCCAACAGAGCGGATGATTCGACTACTGGCATCTCCGCAAAGCCCGAGAACGACAAAAAGGCACCAACGACGACACCGACAGCAGAGTTTGTTCCAACAGAAGTAAGAAGAGACTTGGTAATGTCCGTCTGATCGGCTTTGAGGCTTCGTGCATAAAACACCAGGAAGACAATGCCGGCAGAAAGGACCGCAACACCTTGGAGCATGCTCGGTACATCGAATTTAGCCCACAACGAACGACAAAGCTGGAGAGTGTATCGTTGATAGTCCCTGTAAGACTCGGAAACGGAAAGCAAAGTTGCCTGACTGGGCCGGCCGATCCTAGGAAGCTTCTGCCAGCTGTTTTCAGCCGCCCTCCAAAGGTCCTCGGACTGGGATTGGTGGCTGTCCTCGGCACCTCGCGAAGCTGTGTACTCCCGCTGATATCTCTTAATCTGAGCGGAAGTCAACCGGTTCACAGACATCACGTTCTTCCAATCGTTCCCCTTGGGCCCAATGAAAGCCTCCTCGATCGGCGAGCCGAGGTTGTTAAAGGGAATAGGCATTCCGAGAAGAAGGGACAGCGTGGGCACAAGGTCGATCTGAGGGACAAAGCGATCGCGAGCGAGCATGGGAGGTTTGGCTGTTTCTGCACTTGTGCGGCCGAAGATGCCCCTTTTAGAGTACATCCATAGAGCTGCATCGACCTCATCATTGGATTCACCGCCGTGGTCTCCCTTGGAGTCCATGCCGTGATCACCCATCACCACCAATAGGGTTTTGTCATCGAGTTTGGCGATGATTTCGCGAATGACCCGGTCCATCTCATCGAGCTTTGCGGCCATAGCTTGATGGTTCGGGCCGTATCGGTGGCCAGCGTGATCGACACCGAGATAATGACCGAAGATGACATCCCATTTCGTAGAATTTTCAGGATGCAGAAGCGGGAGGAGGTTTGCAGTCACGCCGTTGTCAACGGTGTGCAAGTCCCAGACATTGAATGAATCAAATGCACGAGTTAGATTAGGATCGAAGTAGCCGGGGAAAAGTGCGTGCCAGGTGTCATCCCCAAGCTGAACCAAGTTCTTGCCTGCGGCGCGCAATTGCGCAACCAGATTGTCTTCATCGATTGCCGTACCGGCAAAGTTAGAACCAGCGTCAATGAACGTGGGAAGTGTTCCAGTTGTAAGTCCCTTCAATCTCTGCAGCGTCGTCGTGGGCGGATCCGCGATAAAAGGAAGCAGGAAGGCATTTTCGGGGTTATTGACAGCTGTCTCATATAAGACGGGAAGGTGGTCATGGAACAGTTGTGCCGACTCAGCCTCTGCGCTCGGAGCAAAGGGTACCGTAAAGTCGTAGCGTAGGGCATCGATGATGATCACAACGGCTTTCTCGAACGACTTCTGGTGCCAACACCCATCGACTTTCTTGCTTACAGTCGCTGCCTCGTCGAAGGGGAGTACGTCGCAGGATGACTTGTTCTCCAACACCATGCGAGTTAGCAGGAATCCTTTAGTAAAGAAGAATATCCCGACAACATGCAAAAACCTAGGGAACCACAGATAGGTTAGAAAACTCGGGTCCCCAAAGAAGAAGCGGCTTGGACGCAGAGACAAAAGCATACAATATCCACCCTAGCACACCAAGCACACCTAAATGCTTTAATTTGAATTCAGTTTCCAAGCCTTGTATATATTTGTCTTGCGCACTGCCCCCAGCCAATGCCTTTGGTACCTGAGGTTTCCGATGTTCATTGCGTTCCGGAGATCGTGACGACAAGGCCGGACCGGCGTTTCGCGAGTCGGACAGGGTCGGGCTTTCAAGCCTTGGGCCCCCACTAGTGACGGATACCATGAGGAGGGTGTTGCAATTGAATATAATAAGTCGTAGCTGGTCGAAGACAAGCTAAGAGGGAGGTATTTCGCCGAGCGCAAGTGCCGGGTCTCTCACTGCAATTGGGCAGGGCTTCGGCCGCTCTAGCTGTCGAGCTGGCGTTTCAAGGAGAAGATAGACGATGTGAGGATCGAACGGTTGAGGATTCAGCGGCCTGAAGGCGAGCTCATTGAATTGAAAAGGAGGCGAGCCTGGATCGTGGCTTTTCCTTTTTCCTGAATTTTTCTTTTTCGCCCACCGTGGAGCTGTCGTGCGGGTTGTCCGGGAACTGTATTCAACAGAGCACAGACATAGTTACAGTAACAGCTCCATTAGACGTGGGGAAGCATCAATTCCAAGATAAGAGATAGGCCATCCAAGGACAGCCACGACGAGAAGCACCAAAGAGGGGTGAGAGGAAGACTTGGGGAAGTGGAAGCCGTAGGTCTCCTGGCACCGCGCCGGAAGATGCGCTCCGCTCAGAGGGAGTCGGCGTTTTCGGCATCCCAACCCAGGAATTCGGACATCGTCATTGGCCGAAGCGGCTCGGAACATTTTGAACCCTGAGGCAGTGGGACCTTACCGCTTCGGGACAGCCCATGCTATTAGGTAAATCCACAGGAGACTAAACTAGTAGCTCGCAGAGTTAACTAATAATAACTAGGGAGTTGGAAATGATTTCCACGTAAATTAGGGGATGATCGTATTCCGTCGTGATGCGTGAAATGTATCTACATACAGGGCATTGCAGGGAATGAGGTAATATGTAATATATACAGCTAGTCATAGAATGAAATGAGACAACAACATCGCGCTAAAAACAAATCATCGCCCGCTTTCTTCATTACCACATGGGAAAAGAAATAAATAATCAAACAATTGCTCCGGTTTGCGTTGGTTACAGGAACTTGGCTACCGCACCACCGATGTTCTTCAAATCCAGAAGGAACGTGTCATGCCCAAAGAGCGAAACGTCCTCTCCAAGTTCAATGTGCTCGACGTTCTTATTTCCAGTAGCCCGAAGGGTCTGGGCGATTTCTCGCTGTTGCCAAGCCGGAAAGAGGATATCACTGGCGACGCCCATGACCAAAACCGGGTGGTTCTTGAGCGGCGCAAGGCCGGCGACAAGATCCTGCGGGGGAGCATCTGCTCCAATATCACCACCACCCACAGCCTGGTCCATAGCAGGAGCGGAGGCGTTTACAGAGGGTTGCTCCTCGTAAGGTTTTTCTGGGAGAGTCAGACTACATGAGATATTGCTTTCGTGCAGGGCCTTTCCGCCGTCAGCAATTTCAGCCTCAAACTCGGCTCTTCGAGCTCTGGTCTCGGTCTGGTGAGCATGGCCGAGATCAAACAGATCCATGGCCTTGGAGATGTATAGCAGACTGTTAGGATCGTATTCCAGGCAGAACTTCTCTCCTGCGTGATCCAGGTATGTCTCAATCAGGAAATCCGGGCACAGAGCAGGTTGCTTGTTAGGGTCTGCGCGTTTGCGCCCGAACCGCTTCTCCCACTCCGGACCGCTTCTGTATGTCACGGTTGCGATCTCTCTCGCCAGCTTCATTCCAGAATGCGGAGGAATCGAGTCATAGTAGAAACCACGGGCCCATTTCGGGTCCATCATCAGTACTTGTCGCTGGGTGTGTCGCATGGCAATGCTGTAGGGGTGGCTTCGCGCACAACCACTGATACTGATAATCTTGCCAATCCTTTCAGGGAAAAGAACACCGGCAGCAAGACTCTGCATACCGCCCATGCTGGATCCGACAGAGGCGTAGAGTTTGTTAATGCCAAGTGAGTCCAGGAGACGAAACTGTGCCCGAACCATGTCGTCAATCGTGAGGATAGGGAACCGAGTAGCGTATCGCTTTCCGTCAGAGGGGTCCACTGACGAAGGCCCTGTGCTACCATAGCATCCTCCAACGACGTTGGTGCAGATGACAAAGTACTTGTTTGTGTCCAAAGGTTTGCCAGGCCCGATAAATCTCTCCCACCAGCCGGGCTTGGGGTTGGCCTCCGTGCTATGGGCGTGACTGGACGCGGACAGACCGGTGTGCAGTAAGATAGCATTCGACTTGTCAGAATTCAAGTGGCCCCATGTTTCGTAGGCGATGTCAAACTCTGGAAGTATACCCCCCCAATCAAGTAATAAGGGTTGTTCGCAGTGAAACTTTCGGTGATGGCCAGTGGTATATGAAGGTTCGGGGCCCGACTGGAGGGATCGTGCGGAGAGCTGGGCAGACTTTGCATCCTGCGCATCGAGACACGGAAAAGACATGGCGGGATTGGACGAGTCCCTCGCAGCAGCATTGGTCGACTTTTGCGATCGGGTAGTATGCAGGGCCCTGTATGTTGCCGGACACGATGCCGATAAAGAGGCTTGGGTTCGCTGACTTCCGGTAATTGTAGACAAGCTCGTATGCTGATTGAGAAGCCGAGAAGCTCTTAGAGCTCTCGGAAGTGTGCGGCCTGCAGCCATTGAATTCATCATAAGCCAACAGCAACTCTATGACCGACAGAGAAGAGATGACACGGATAATGTCAGTAGAGGCAGTACTTGGGTTAATAATTTATCTATTGCGGAGGCGGCGCACGTGGCAGCCTGAGGCACAGAGTCCAGCAGCTCTCATGGCGTCATCTTCATAGCCTCTGATTGGTTGATTATGGCCAGTGGCATATTAGTAATACATTCTATCCCAGTCTAGAATTACTCATGCCTAGTAGTTAGTAGTACTACTACGTGACAGCACACCTCAATGTTACAGAGGACATCATGAAAACTGTTCCAGGACCTTATCTGACCTCCTTGTCAAAATCCAATTTGAATTGACACAAAGTATTACAGAATTAGATTCCTATGGTGGAACTTGCGCAAGAAAAGACGCGGAAGACTAGTATCAAGGAGATTGAATGATGAATTCGGAGAGACGCTTGATTCTGACTCTTACGGTCGTTTTCTCTCTTTTTTTAAGGGAGAGAATCCGCCGAAGCCACCAAAGCCACGAGGCGGCCCACTTTGGGCAGGCTGTAAGCTGCTGGTGTGACCTGTACTCAGACCGATTTTCCTTCCCGGTTTGCGAATATTCTCAGGCTCTAGCTCTTCTTCCTCATCCAATATAGTCTTGCTCTGCGCCCCTAACTTGCGGCGTTTCGTCCGGATCTGCGGCTGACCAGCAACAAGAGCGCTAATGGATCCGATATCACTGTCATCATCAATATCATCTAGCCTCAAACCGCTTCCTTTTCTAGAATTCATTGCCGGCTTAGATTTATCCAAGCGCTGCTTGGCATGTATAGGGCGGCGTTCTCGTGGCTCGGCTTCAGATTCCTTGACATGTAATTTGTCCTCGAGGTATGAAGTCTCCAGCGCAGATTCATCATCGCTGCCGAGACGATCAGCACCCGCTCTATTGTCTGGAGTATCGCCAGAGGTTTCCTGGTTTCCATTGGTGCGATTGAGAAATGGCGTGATAGAGAAGGCAGATTTCTGGCCAGGAACTGCAGTAGGTTGCCGTTTCCCTTCCTTGACACGAACTGCTCCCGGCGTCGCGATATCCAACCCAGGGTCAAATCTGGATGAGAAGTCTTTGAGGGGGACTTTTCTCGTTTGCTCTAACGGACCATTGCTGTTACTGGTCTCAAATCGGCTGGTTTGGTTGCTGGTTTGAGCTTGACGCAGCTCACCCTTTAGGGTCCGTAATTTCCTGTTCAGTGATTCGACTTTGTCTTCCAGGGCAGCTTTCTCCGACTGCCACATGTTATTCGGTTGCTGAGTAGCAGGCACTTTTCGAGCCTCTGCTGCAATTTGCTTGCGTTGCTCCTCAAGCTTTGCAGTCAAGACAGATATTTCATCCGCTTGCTGTGCTCCCTGCGCCATAGTGGATTTGTGTGCGCGCTTTTCATTCTCAAATTCCACCTTAAGTGTATTCAAATGACGGGTAAGCTCTTGTTTCTCAGTAACCAGTGCTTGGAAGGAGTTTTCCTGCAGCTGTAGTCTGTGGACCTCTGACTGCATGTTAGCCAGCTCCTTGGTCAGGCGCAGCTTTTCGGTAACAAGGTTCCTAGATTCGGCCGTTGTGCTGTTCATCGATGCCAATTCGCGCTGTGAAACCCCTGGTCAATATAGGCTATTTCCAAAGACGGAGGGTGCTGTCATACTCGAAGACCCTCAATTTCGTGAGTTGCAATGTGAGCTGAGCTCTGCAACTGATCGCGTTCCCGGATGGTATCCTGCAGCCGATTACGAATATCCGACTCGGCATTCCTAGCTCGTGATAGATCTTGTTTGAATTGATTCAGTTGCAGTTGGAGGTTTTCGTTATCAAATCGCAGAAGAAGCTGGTCGACGTGAAGGATGCGGCGCCTTTCCTCATCTAGGAGTTGTGCTGTTTTCCCGAGTGTTCTGTCATATTCGCGCTCAAAGAACGCTGTTTTGAGAGCCATTTGGCACTGCGCGTGTTAGCTCACACAGTTGGATTGGACATTGTAGGATAGGGGTAATGTCCACACATCTTCTATGGTGTAGTCTGTCCCATTATTGATAAGCTCCATGGCGATGATCGAGCCAGGAGAGATAGTGAGGGGGCGGAGGCCGGACTAGCAATGTTGGTATAGACGGATGATCTCGTGATAGTAGTAGATAATGCGGTCGCGGCAAGTCAACAAGCAAGATAAACAAACAGGAACAAACAGAGCCTCCTCCCCGCTTTCAGCCGCAGGGCGCGGAACAATGCACGGCCCGGATGACAGGCAAACAGGGTGAACCATGATGTCACGTGCCTGGATAAGCGTCATCAGTGCACCTGCCGAGTAAGAACGCAAGCGACAATTTAAAGCCAGTACAGTAGAATGCTTGAGGCATATGCTGATATTGAGTCTTGTTACCTTGCGTCTGACCCTCTATGATGGCGAGTCGTGGGCCCACTACCCGCTCCAGAAGAGCCGGAGCTGCTTCGAACCATTCTCGGCGGCAGCGAGAAGACCAAGATCATGAGATTCCAGAGATCTACCAGGAGATGTTGGCGGAGGCTGAAGCTAGAGAGTCCTCCAGGCCAGATGATACCCGACTACCCAAAAGAAGGAGGCTTACCCGCCCCAATCCAGTATCCGCACCATGGCCTTTACATCAAACTGGTGCTAGTACTCCAGAAGCCAGCTATTCTACAGAACAACCTGTCCAAACGGTGTATGATTCGCCATCATCATCCGAAGAATCAGGTATGGAATGGGAAGACGTTGATATTCAGCAAGCTCCACATACAATTCATGCGGACGATACCTCGATTCAGGTCACCCTGGGTCTGCCCGAGGATCAGAAGCGCAAGGTAGTTACCAAGCGAAGGGGGATCACCGCTGCCGAAAAGCAGTTGCGATTAAGCATCCATAAAGTTCATCTACTTTGCCTCCTTCGCCATGTGCAGATACGCAATCTCTGGTGCAACGATGAGGAATTACAGGTACGTCCGATTCCGATTCAGCCACCTTTATCTGGTAAATAGGCATACATGCTTGAGTCTAAAAAAAAAAAAAGAACACGTGGGAAAGCGGCTAAGGGAAAGGAGACCGAATGAAAATGATAGATAGGGAACTAATCTTTACCTGACTTTGTTTCCGTTATATAGGGCTTCCTCAAACGGACATTGCCGAAAAATATCATCTCACTATTGCATCCGTCCGAGAACAGGCCACAACAATTCAGGTCAACAACTTTCGTTGATGGGTTGAACCGTGCTAGTGATATTTTCAATAGAAGGTTTAAGATAACCAAACCAGGACTAAGACGACCTTCGTGGATAGATGATCTTAATGGTATCAAACAACGAGTGGTATTGTAACTGACTTCGGTGTTGTATATGTCACAAATGTGTCTGACCTCTCGTTAGGAATCCATAATAAGTGATGCCGAGGTCTTCCTCTCGAGGAAGGATTTTGTGAAACAAGCACGAACAATGCAAGGTTCTCGTGATTTTGGCGCCCAGTTATTCTGTGCTTTGTTACGGTCCGTGGGCGTCGAAGCAAGACTCGTCTGCTCATTGCAGCCATTACCATTTCGAGATAAAACCAAGGATGCGGCACCACCTGCTCCGGTGTCTGAATCTTCAGAAAGGTTTACCCAACCAACTGCTGAGGAATCGCAAACGGCACAACGGTCCACTGTGAAAAGATTAGCCCGGCCACGCTTCACACCAGCCAGACGCGCCGGGACTCCTACTCAAAGTAAGTTCGGCCTCTATCGTTCAAGCTAGCATGAAGCTGAGCATACCAAAGGTTCCCCCCGGCCCATCCGTGAATCATCACACCCCGTATTCTGGATTGAAGCGTTTAACGAAGCAGTAAATAAATGGATACCTGTCGATGCCTTGGTTACCAAGTCTATGGCAAAGCCTTCTAAATTCGAGCCTCCAGCAAACGATCCTTACAATCTTCTGAGCTATGTGGTGGCATTTGAGGATGATGCCTCTGTTAGAGATGTCACCAGGCGCTATGCGAAAGCCTTTAACGCCAAAACTCACAAACTTCGAGTTGAATGCGTGGGGAACCATGTTAACTGGTGGAACAGAGTGTTGCGGTTCTATGAAAAGCCATTTTTGGAAGACCGGGACCAACTGGAAATTAGTGAGCTTACTTCCAAGACAGCGGCTGAACCAATGCCCCGGAATATCCAAGACTTCAAGGACCACCCGGTCTATGCTCTTGAAAGGCACCTTCGGCGACATGAGGTTGTCTTTCCTAAACGGATCATCGGGCAGGTTAGCCTGGGCAAATCAGCGTCGAAGAATCAGGTCTTGGAGCCCGTATATCGCCGATCCGATGTACACGCTCTACGTAGTGCAGATCGCTGGTATCGCCTGGGTCGCGACATTAAGACAGGCGAGCAACCGTTGAAGCGTGTCACCTCAAGGAAGCCACAGATGGGGAGGCTCAGTAACGAGGACGATAACTCTGTCTCCGACACACCTCTGTACGCTTATTATCAGACACAAGTGTATCAGCCCCCGCCAGTAGTTGGAGGGAGAATACCCAAGAATATCTATGGGAACCTGGATGTCTATGTACCCAGCATGGTGCCTCCAGGCGGTGTGCATATCGCTCATCCCGATGCCCGTCAAGCTGCTAAGATCCTTGCAATTGACTATGCAGATGCTGTCACCGGTTTCAGCTTCAAGGGGCGCCATGGGACCGCGATCATGCAAGGGATTGTCGTTGCCACTGAGTATCGAGAAGCACTTGAAGAAGTGCTAAATTGTCTGGAGGGAGAAAAGTTGCAGGCTGAATTAGATAGGAAGTCTGCTGAAACACTGCAGGCTTGGAAGCATCTGCTGCTGAAACTGCGCATTGCGGAGAGAGTCAAAGGCTATGCAGTAGAAGGTGAACGTGAGGCAGATGAGCCGGGAAGGATCGGAAACGTGAAGGAATCCGAGTACCCGGAAGAGTCAGGCGGCGGCTTCATTCCGGAGTCGGAGCAACAGACGAACAGTCCGGCTTCTGTAATGGACTGGATTGGCCCCTCTCGAGATGAAACGTCAGGACCTACAGGCACTACAGGCAGAGACATGTCTCTTTCGGCTACAGAGACGGACATGCTTGGTGGAGGCTTCATTCCTGAAGCAAGCGTGGACCAAGTGTCTTCACCTCAGCCAAATAGTAACGTCACAGAATTGCAAAGGAATCGCTCGGTCCTCCCTCAATATGACCTGGTTGTCACTCCAAAGCTTGAATCTGCAGGCCAGACAGCCCCGATCCAAGACTTCATGAGTAAGGAATCGGGACTGTTGTCTGACAGGACGAAAGAGGACTTGAGGCATATCACACAGCATATTGCTCCTCAGAACTCCGAGGCCGCCATCATCAGATCCACTACAGCAATTTCGGGCACCACGCATCGTCAGATCGCTGTACAAGCAGATGATTCCCGCTCTCCGACCCCGAGCATCACCAGCCAAGAAACGCACAGCGACGAAGAGACCTCTTTACTATCGCAAGACCCAGAAGATGATGACGCCATCCCGGAGTGGTTGATGTCCGATTAACTGTATCATAGCTAGACTTTGTGGGTTAATCATAGCCGCTACGACAACGCGATTTGTATTACTACTAAATAGCACGTCATGTCCTTATGCATGTAGTACTAGATCATCATCATCATTATCATCATCATGGTTCTACAGTCTTTTGTATTCATTCTATATGTTGCGTTCTTGTTCATCGTAAGAATAGCCATTACCGAGTATCTCGGGTCAATGAATAAGGGTGCGAGAGTTACTATATGCTAGCTTACAGAAATCCATGAAACTGTACTAGAAGTTTTCTCTTTTTTTTTTTTTTTTTTTTTTTTTTTTTTTTTTTCCTGATCCATCAGTAAACCATCTACGGAGACTTGCGTGCTATAGAAGCATACCGGCGTCTATAATTACCTCTGAAGTTCACCAAGCTATATTAGAACCATAAAGTACAGAGATGTCAGCATGTCGAAACACATCGGACTCAAGGATTCAAAAAGGTGTATTTGTTGTAATTTCGATAACAGAGCACGCCATTGGAAAGGCGACCGTGTCACTAAGAATGACGAGGCAATCAAGCGAAATTTCACTTAAGGGTTCAGGCATGCTCTAGGTACTAGTGTGCCTTGAGAGATATGATGATGCCAATGAAACAAAGGGTTGTATCTCAATTAGATGGATTTTAATGAAGAAGGTACTAGGCCCAAGTGTTCCCACCAGAAGGCGAGGAAGGGCAAATAATCAGGTGATCGGTGCATCGTCAGATTAGAATATTGTATGTGGCCGTACGACGGGTTGATTGTTAATAAGGCTTACTTCCTCAATCCTTTGCATCCTTTAAGGATAGTTTGCTAACTCGGGTGGGTTTAGCCTCTCCGTGCTTTTGAGTCAATCACCATCGGAGCTCCGGTTGTTATCAAAGTAGTACTCTTGAAAGAGGGGTTTCCCCCTCAATTGCTTATTGCAGTTGTCACCATTTCACTCTTGTCCATCTCGTGCGGCCTGACTTGTTCATCAGCACTGTTACTCTACTATCATCGTCTTTCACAATGTCAAAACATTCAAAGTTCACTCCTGAGTACGCATCCCCAGCTGTTAGTCTAAAAAAAGCTTGGAAGTACCAAGCTCTAACCACTGGCTCGCTAGGTTATTGATCACCGCCCCAAGGCCATCATCAGCAGTACCGAACGATGAGGGAAAAGTGGCGATCTATACTGTCTCAACATACGATCTTGACACCCACGCAGAATTCTCTGAGGTCAAGCTGCTCAACTTAGAAACCGGCGAGTCCACTCGGTACACCAATGATCCCAAGGAGTCTTCGTTTCGCTGGCTGTCCGGTTCGTCACTTCTTTGGCAAAGAGAGGGCAAAAACAACACCGAATTATGGATTGGCGATGCCTACCACAACACCCGGTAAGACTGTCTTCTCCATGACGAATTGATATTTCTGACAACGTTTATCAGACCATATTTGGCTGGTACTATTGACGCTAAACCAGGGAACTTGAAGACCAAATCATTGGACAACGGTGACATAGCACTGGTCTTCACAGCACCCGCAGATGCCGAACAGAATCTGTACAACATCCTCAAAGCAGACAAGACTCATACGACCGCCCGGGAATGGACTCATAGTCGTCCCAAAAGATGGGACTCGTATGTTGACCAATATAGATCGGTTATTTGGTATACAGTCCTGAAGCTTGACTTGGATTCCGGACAGTGGCAGCTTTCTACTAAAGGCCCCGTCAATGCTCTACGAGGAACAGGCCTAGTGATACCCCTTTACTCCAACTCACAAAGCTCTCCGGATCTCGACATCTCATCTTATGGGATTGTCTTTGCAACAGCAGATCCAGTGGATATGGAATGGAGACGATCGCAAAGCTGCTTATATTTTCTTCCATTGTCAACATTCGAGGAGACCGACTTACCTGCGCTGAAGAAAATAAAGGTTCCCGATCATGCAGATATCGTAGCAGCCCCGAGGTTTGCGCCTCGGGACCCAGTGATCGCTTTTCTAGTTGACCAGGACAGCGAGGAGTGGTCGCAAAAGAGCATTGTCTTGCTAAACACAGAGACGTTGAGTATAGTATCAATCCTTCGGACGGTAAGTTCATTCGGTCAGAGTCAGAACTGGGATGTCTTCCCAGATGACATTCTGTGGGCAAATGACGGCGCGTCTTTGTATCTGACTGCGAACCATCAAGCAAAAACTCGTGTGTTCCTAGTGCTTCTCCCGACCACTACTGTTCAAGACAGAGCACAGAGTGTGGAACCAGTTGCTTTAGAGATCCCTGGCTCCGTCTCATCACTGTATCAGCTGGGTCGGAGTTCCTCGGAGATCCGATTACTGGCCACCTCTTCATCATTCATAGATCAGGGATTGTTCACAATTGTCACTCCTCCTGTAGACAATGAACCTGCATCTCAGAGCAGCCGAGTCATCCACTCGTCCTCCTCTCACGGAGCCTATTTCGGAATTTCGGACAAACAAGTTGAATCGATAACATTTCCTGGCGGCCCAGATGGCAGGACCCCAGTGCAGTGCTGGATCGTAAAGCCATCTTGGTACGAGGGCACGTCGGTTGAAAAGCATGCTCTATTCATCTTTATGCACGGCGGGCCCCATTCCGCTAACAAGGACGCCTGGACCTGGCGCTGGAATGCAGTCCTCCTAGCGGAACAAGGGTACATCGTTGCAATCCCCAACTTCACTGGATCCGACTCGTTCGGGGGCGAATTTGCACGAGCAGTCGCACTGCAGTGGGGAGGACACCCTTACCACGATGTCGAGCGCTGTTTCAACTGGATCGAACAAAACCTGTCGACCAAGTGCGATGTTGATAGAGCCGTAGCCGCGGGCGGAAGCTATGGGGGATATCTGGCGCTATTCTTGGCAGGACAGCCTCTCGCCAAGCGGCTCAGAGCTCTGGTCAGCCACGACGGCATCTTCGACGTTGTTTCCGAGCTTCTGAGTGATGATCTGGGTCAGGTGCAAGAGCTGACGCGCTCCTTCGGTTCGCCATACTTCTCCAGTGCCCCGAATGCTGGCCGTGACGAACCCAGCGTAAAGGAGATCTGGCGACGGTATAACCCAGCCGAATATCTCAGTAATTGGTCAACACCATTGCTTCTGATCCATTCGGATCGAGATTTCCGGTGCCCTATTACGGCTGCATCGGCCGCTTATACCGTTTGTCGAATGAAAGGGATAGATACACGGTATTTAAATTTTCCGGATGAGAACCATTTTGTCCTGGGGAGGGAGAACAGTTTGGTCTGGTATCAGAATGTGATTGGATGGTGCAACAAATATGTGGGAATGGAGGATGGGTTGGCGTTGCAGCCAGCTCGCAATGAGCCACAGTGGCTGGGGAGAAGGGAAGAGGGGAGAGTACTGGATGTTGATGCCTAGAGGCATGATTCATGTATTTTGTTTTCCCTTCTTGGTTGCAATCTTCTACTAGTACCGAGTAAGTACCGAGTACAGGTATGTGTTCAGTTGGCCTGAGGCATCAATAAGACCGATTGACCGACTGACCGACTGACCGACTGACCGCTTACCCGCGGAAGCAACAAAGCAAAGTTGAACGCGGGTTATGACGCCATGGCCCAGCAGGGCGTAGTGCGATCGCTCCATGTGATCACCGGCGAGACTTAGCTGCATGTCCGACACCACTGGCTATACTCCTTCTGGCTTGGAACGCGTGATGGCCTGTTCGAGGAAAAGAGCGGAACAAATTAATTTTAATTTTTTTTTTTCTTTCTTTTCCATCAGGCTGCTCCATGCCACACACACACACACACACACACACACTAAGGAGGAGGGGATGAGCTGAGGACAGTTCCTTCTGAATCTCTACTTCTTCCTTCGTTATCACAGTGTGGATGTCCCCTACCCATCTATCAAGCTCGTACAACGGATCCGATCCAGCGTAACTCCACCGCTCAGAAGCTGGGGACATCCGCTAGTTATCTATCCACCTGATCCATTTAAGGAAAAGATCCAGACTCCCGCCTCCCGCCCTAGCATCTATCTAGTCTAATAAACCCTGCGATCCCGCGAGCACGCCATCATGGAATCCTCTGATTTGACCGCGCCTTACGCCAGGCAGGCCAACGCTTTATCTCCCACGCAACGATCTTCATCCCATTCGTCTCATCGTGAGCCACACCGCATGGCTGCCTTCGAAACGGTCACCGTGCCTGACCAGGGCCAATCGCAACCTGTCAACGAGGTCACTCCGATCGTGAGCAACTCTGACACATCTCGGCGCAACTATCATTCTACCGACGGTCTACGGAACAGGGACTCGGGATCAACAAACAACAACACGGTCTCACGGGATCCCGGTCAGCAGAACTCCCAGTGTGACTCGGAAGAACCGCACGGCTCGTGGTATAGCCGGCTGGCAGATAGATATGGAAGCTTGGAGTTAGAAAATAAAGGCAGTGTGGCCCGAGATCATCTCGCTTTGGGTATGCTTAGTCCGTTGTTGCTTTTTTTTTTCTCTTCTCACCCCGTCCGTGTACGACCTCGTTAACCGGATTCCCTTTCTTTTCCCTAGAACGAACCTTTCTGGCATGGCTGCGGACATCGTTAGCCTTTGCATCGATTGGCATCGCAGTAACCCAGTTATTCCGTCTTAATAGTGCCGGGACGAACGCGAATGCCAATCTTTCCGCTCAAAATTATCTTTTGCCATCTGCCGCTTATGATTCCACGCCAATAGGGGTGACATCTGCCTCTGCACGCCTTCGGAGCATCGGTAAGCCGTTAGGGACTACTTTCATTGGAGTTGCAATTTTGATTTTATTGGTTGGATTCCACCGCTATTTTGAGAGCCAGTATTGGATTATTAGGGGCAAATTCCCGGCCAGCCGTGGCAGTGTTGCATTGACAGCCTTTGTAGCTGCTGCTCTGATTGTTACCGCTTTTGTTGTGATCCTTGCCATCTCTCCCGGCGCGGTTGAAGCGTAGGGGCTTAATTTCGGGATAAGCAAGGAGTTGCACGTTTTCTATACCGTTTTGCATTCTAATTTTGTTTGTATTAAAGCGAGCGAAATGATGGATTTGGCGGTGTTGTGCTATTCATAGGTACGTAGCAGTATTTAAGTAATAACCATGGCTGAATCGACCGAACAAAAGAGCTACTCAACTATAGTCATCCAGATATCATACAACGAACTATCATTAGTCCACGCACTCACACCCCTACGGAGGCAATAAATGACCTGCTACTGCTTAAGCTGTGGTATCTCGTAAGCAGAAAAATCACCTGACACTACAAGGCCCTTCCTATAGTACTATATCAAACCAGAAGTACCTCAACCCTACACATACCAACAGCCTACAATCTATAATCTACAATCTACAACTACATAAAAGAAACCAAACTGCGAGTGAGATTCTTTTTGATTATCTCTTAACTCAAGAGTAGAACTAAAGGCTAAGGCAACCCCCCCCCCCATTCGGGCAAACCTGATAGGCGGAATCCAGGGAAAACACCTACCACCGTCTTTAGTCTTCAGTGATATAGGATGAAAACCTGGACCGGGGTGCACGATGCCATACATGACAATAGACAATAAGGAAATGAGAACATGCTTCGCTGAATCGTCCCCACAGAAAAAGATATAAAGTCAAAAAAGAAAAATACAGGAAGAAGATTGATCCCCAAAGTTTCATAGATATTCCTCCGCTTGGGCCTTGAGTTCGCCCCCTTCTTTGTGACATGCTGGTACTTGTACGTCCCCACAAATATTATAATCAAAACAAATTCATGTTATACATGAAGTTCCCAGATTTTCTTGAATTCCTCCGCTGGGTGTCCTTTTAGACTTGGTTGGTGTGTTGGGATGCCTAGGATATATTAGTATGTTTGTATGCAGGTTGATGAAGGTGAGGTGGGTACTTACTGCCTTAGAAGGCTTCGAGCATCATGGAGTCGCCGTCGCAGTCGACGGGAAGGTTGGTTATCGGGTAGCATGGTAGCTGTATCGGTTGGAGGACAGGTAGATTGACTGGAGTGGGGGCCATGTCGAGGATGTCGAACATGGGTGTGTCCCCATCGAAGTCCTTAGAGAATGGTCTCTTAGGGGCGGGCTTAGTGGGTGTGCCGCGTCGGTATTGGTGAGGTGTGTTGGTGTTGTTGGTATTGTTGAGATGTCTCTTGAGATTCTGAGACATGGGGCATGCGTCGAGCATGATGATATCCCCGTCGGTTGATTTGCGGTTGTTGATGTTGTTGTTGTAGTTGGCTTTACGGCCAGTGTTTGGTTGGGTCTTGGTTGGAGGAGGCTGCCTCTTTTGAGGTTGAGGCTTGACGAAGACGTCGGTCATGGAGATGTCTCCATCGACCTCGCGATGAGGCTTTCGAGGTGCTGGCTTGGAGATGCCAGAGTTTGACTTGTAGTGAGGGTTCGGCTGCCTCTGATGTTGAGGAGCGTTGGAGGGGGTGTTGTTGGTACGGATGAATGGAGGAGATTGTTTTGGTCCATTAGGTCTGAATCGACGAGGAGGAGATCGGCTGTTTTGTTTGCCGGGGCGGGTGTGGTAGAAGAAGTTTGAGGCGGGAGGAGCAGCCATGTTGACTGATTCAAGGAGGGGAATAGAGGGAGATAGGTGATGAGGAATAGTAGAGAGAGTAGAGGTGGGTAGAGATATATGGAGAGACGTTTTCGAATCTCTCGAGGAGTATGAGGTGGATGGATGATATAAGAAGTATAGGTTATAGGAGAGACTTGTACGGATCTCTCGAGAAGTAGGAGGTGGGTTTCGGTTGTTTGAGTATAGGAGAACAATAAAAGCAGATTTGTAGAGATGTTTTTCGTATCTCTAGAGAATGGGGGTGATTTCGGAGTTTGTAGTATTAGGGATTTGTTAAAAGCAACGCAGAACAGTTAAAGCAGATTGAACAGTTAAAAGCAGATTTGGTTTGAACGTTCCAGTTTTTTCGGAGACGTTGAAGAGAGGAAAGATTTCAAAATGGCCCTGGGAAATCCGGGGGCCTACTTATACCCCCAGAGTCTCTAGAAAACTTCGTATACCTGAGTTCAGCATTACAACGGAGCGAAGTATAAGGACTATTGTAGAAAATATCTAGGTAGTCGACCATGGGTCCGATAGGGCTGGCCTCCAGGAACGGGCTATTAATATCTCTTCCGCCAACAATAAGGTTTCTGGATATAGTACATAGGGCTAGCCAATAGTATGACCCAATGGCTAGGCCCCTGCTTGCCGAACTCAGTCTGCCTGGCCCTTGCCTAAGAATAGTGGTGAGAAAAGTGTAGGGGTAAGTCTGGGGTAAGTCCGGGGTAATCTGGGGTTACACATCCGGACTTATCATCGGCTAACGATTCCACTTCGTCCCAATCCTCGCCTTCTTTCTAGTGTGTTTCGTCCCGGTTCTGGCCGAAGATGTGCTTCCGTTAGATGTCAAACTGTCCCTCTTGCGTTTGTCCACTTTCGAGGTCTCCCGCCTTTTGCGTTGTTCCTCCTTGATCTTCAGTCTTCGCTGTACCTCCTCTGAGATATCCTCGGTCTCCACTGATACAGGTGAGAAACGCCTTATGTCTTCATCGGCTCCTGGAATAAATTCGTCGATACGTTTTCGTTTGCTAGAGTGGACAGCTAGAGACCTTGCAGTCAGGGGGTCTTGGTTTTCCGCTGCTGCTGCCCCTCCGTCTTCTTCCGGGTCATACAAGTGGTCGGCATGACGTTTGAGTTGCTCTTTTTTTAGCTCCTTTCGACTGCTTGACGTCGACATGGACTCTGACGAACGAGTGTCCGATTCCGGTGTTGTTGTGTTGAGCCCTATAAGGATGGTTACTTTTCTCTGTACTAGGCTGTGGTATTGTATTATACCCGTCAGAGGAAGCGGGTAAGCTTTTAGAAAAACTCACTTGGCACCTGCCAGATTGGTTAACCAGAGCACTAACAGAAGTAGGAAAGAAGGAAGTAGCTACGACCTACCACACGTTTTTTAAGTATATTAAACTGAGCAATCAGTCTCTTAGTCTTATCAACCATGTTGGACACCAGTTGGGATTCCTCTCCGTGGGAGTGGACTTGACTCTTCAACTGGTGCAACATCTCTAGATGCGACGACAGCATAATATCATGTTGTTTAGAAATCTGATAGTAATGATAGACAGTGTAAGCCATCTACAGTGTTCATATATATAGAAAGCATAACATCGCCGTTCAGGACAAGGCAACTGGTGAGCATGATACATGCAGAATGTCTATAGTAGGTACCTCATGCACAGGAATGGTTCACCCACCTCAGGCCACGAATGCTGGAATAGCTTGGCTTCTGGGATCTTTCCACTACCCCCGTTAGATGATCGCTCATCTTCATGCTCCATTTTGGTAAATTGAGTGGATTTATGGCCAGCTAATGGCATTGCTGCAGAATTTGTCCCAAGAGGTGAGGTTGAAATAGAGCCGGAGTGTTACTGGTTTGAGGCGGTGGTGCCAAAGGGGAAAATTCCCCGCCCGCGTTGTGGTGGCTGGCTTTTCCTTTCCTCTTCTCTATCTCCCTTGCATACTTTGACAGTGAAAACACAGGTAAACCCTTACGAGGGGTTATTGAACTGAGTTCTAGCTGATGCTTCAATGAAGGCTTTTCGGTATTTCGCAATGTTGCTGCGACCGGACGCTGGAATGGGAGTTGGCGTCAGATCACGTGATGGCAAGATCTCTAGCAACGAGAAGGTACAGTGCAACCATTATGTCTCTAAATTGCAAGGTCACTTCTGTTCTGGTATCTAAAGTGATAATATGATGCTCTTGAGACTAGTACTCAGATCTCCTATCCATCACTAATATCTACATTCTATGATCTTACGGCAAAAAAGTGAGCTTCGGAGAGGAGTCCGGGGGAACTCCGATGGTTCGGCTCGGCCCCCCCCCCCCCCCCCCCCCCCCCCCCCCTCTCATCATTCACACTTTCGGTTTCCAGTTCTGTTTCATTCCTGTCTCTTTTGATTTCTCACTCCCCCCGGAAACTTCTCCCCCGCGGATGCTTGCTGCACGTCTCTCCACCCTTGAAATCTGGGGTCGGCTTGTCTCGCCCAGTCCCTCCGTTTCCCCATTCCTCCTCCCGCGGAAAAAGATCCAGCCTCATCTACCGTTCATGTCTCAACAGCAGAGTCTACCAGAAATACCTGAGTCATTGGATCCATGGCCACAGGCCTGGCAGCAAGAGGGGACAGTGCACTGTCCCCAGACGCCCTAATAAATTCTGGGCGTCGCCTCTCTGATACTGATGATTCGATCCCCGCAAAACGCCCAAGAAGGGCGTCGGACTCCCCAGTCAAGGCCTCCAATGGACCGCGCCAGAAGATCACGCGCGCCTGTGATCACTGCAAAGAGAAGAAGACGCGCTGTACGGGAACACTTCCATGTGTCAGGTGTATGCGACTGGATTTGTCCTGCGAGTACAATGCCGCTTACTCCCGGGGTTTGCCTCCAGACCCCCTCCCCGCACCGCCGTCAATGACGGACGGTCACACATATAGTCACGATGCCAAGAGAAGGCCCCAAACAGACGGGGCTCTGGGACGTCGACGCTCGTCATCTGCGCGACAGTCTCCTAGAGTACCTGCCGATTCGCCTCAACAGCCTCTATGTCGAAACGAGGTCTCTCAGCGCAATTCCCCTGATCCAGCGGTGACCGACTTCGAAGGCAATTATCTAGGGCCTGCCTCGGGAGTCTCCTTTCTCAATCGAGTTTGGCGTCGTCTACATCAGGATGAAGGGCATGCAATCCCAGATAGCCTAGAGAACGAGTCCTCTCCGAGGAACACCTCGGTGTTCATGTTTGGTGATAAGCCATACTCCGACTACCGCCAGGTGACTTTCTCACTTCCCCCGTTTGATAAAGCACGAGACCTGGTCAACATCTACTTCGATTTCTCGATGGTGACATATCGATTTCTTCATCGGGGAATCGTAGAGGAGTGGCTCTGCCAGGTGTACCTGAACAATGTCTCCTCTGCAAACCCTCCCACGGGTCCCATGGTAGTGCGGACAGCCATCATCCTTATGATATTTGCAGTTGGCACGCTCTACGAGGAGCAGAAACCGGAACGTCCGGTTGATGGGTGGTGTGGAAGGTAAGCTAGTCAGTTGTATCCCTCTCGGGTCTAGTGTACTGAGTCATCTCAGCGAGCAGTGGTATGCAGCGTCCAAATACATGACCTCCCTGGAGTCGGGCCCCCCTCGACTAGAGACCGTTCAGGCTAGGCTAGGTCAGTGCCTTTACTTGCTGTCTACCTCTAGAGCGAATGAGTGCTGGTACTCATTTGGCACTGCCCTCCAGCTCGTAACGGCGCTGGGCCTGCATCGAAGATTCCCAGGCAGGCTACCTAAGGGCGGGAACACCTACATGGAGCGAGAGCTCCGCAAGCGCATCCTCTGGAGCGCATATATGTTGGACAGATATCTCAGCGTGATGTTTGGTAGACCACGGTTATTACACGATGAAGACATCGACCAAGACCTTCCGGATGAGATCAATGACGAAGACATGCTCCAAGAGGACCCGGAAAGACGCACAGGGTCCGCCGATTGCATGATGATCGCATCCATCCTACATTTCAAGTTCGCCCCCCCCCCCTCTATATACATGGATACATGCCGATACTGACAACACAGGCTTGGTCGCATCCTGGGCGACATCTCTCGTCAGCTCTACACAGTGAATCCATCGTCTCGTAATCCACCACTCGAGACGGCTGCCCGGCTCACGTCTAGATTGGAGGAATGGAAAGCGACAGCACCGCCGATCTTCAACGGAGTGCGCGCAACCAGCCTCATTCCTCCTCTTTGTAGGCAAAGCCAGGTATTACAACTGGCGTACTCGCATGCGGTCATCCATGCGACCAGATCGTTCCTGCTCAACGACATTTCGGATCTGAGACGTAAGCCGCCAGCTCCTCACCCCGTAGCGTCCAACCTAGTACGCAAATGTGTGGAAGCCGCTCGAGAGGTCATGGAACTGGTAGAGGGCCTGGCCAAACAGAACATTCTGATCCATTCGTTCTGGTTCACGCACTACGTATGCTTCTGCGCGATCACAGTGGTGTATATCTATATTATCCAGCAACACCGCGACACATACCCAAAAACCTTATCCCCGGGCACCGGAGACGTCACTCTGAGCTCTCTCTTCAGATTAGCCGAGACCTGCCAACAACACTTGGCAGAGGCTACACGTAAGAACTGTCCCAGTCGTCGCTACAGCATTATCCTAGAAGAGCTACGAAAGGAGGTTCACCAACAGGTTGGGCCGGACGCCGACTGCTTGGTCGATCTATCTGAACAACAACGGCCTAAAACCACCACGCGTCGGGATGAACTGCCGATGGAAGCGCAGCAGATTGGCCTCAACAACCTCTACTCCCCTATTTCACTGGACAACTCGATGGCGTATTCCAGTAGCTTACAACCGGCGGCAGATTTGGCCGCACAATCATTCGGACCCGATAGTGATGTTGGCTTCATTGAAAATTTGGAAGGATCAGTGTGGTGGACAGAGTTAGACTCCTGGGTGAGTGTCCTTTCATGTACTTTGTTGTCAATATTTGCGCCTCGTAACTTATTTCCTTTGCTTCAGGCATTTACCAATCTTCCTGGTGACCCTTTGACACTCGGGTTGTAATATATGATTAGAATGTTAGCGTTAGATCTAACAGTCATTCTATGCTATACTACTATTTGAAATGATCTTCCGTTTTTCAGCTCTTAGATAATGATGTAGAAAAATAGGGTTTTGTTTCAAGATGAAAGATTAGATAATTGTTTTCAATATTATCTGATAACTTTAACTTGTCCTGACAGCAACCGAGATTCGGGTTTCCCCCCGCATCGGACCTGGCCGAAGGTAAATTTCAGCGCCAACCGTGGGCAGTGAGTGACATTCAACTCACCATGTCGATTATTTCGAAGTTTTGCTGTCCAATATCGATCCTACAATCATGCTAATATGCAAAGTCATTGACGACAAAATGACTAACTCGTCATGCTCCATTGCTAGGGCTTCTCTCATTGGCGAAGGAGACTAAGCTCCGATCTCGCCATCGCCTGTGCCGCTTGCGACAGCCGTCTTCAGCGGCCCTGGCCGCCCTGTTATTCCTTCTTTTCGAACGTACTCATGCATCACGACATTTCCATGACCTAAAATAGCGCAACATAGAACAGACTATCATCGCTTCGCTTGCGAAAAATCCTGGCACAACAAAATGGCGTGTTCTTGCGGATCATACATAACCTCGGCGAGCTGCCGTCCCTTTCTTTAACTCTCGCCCTGAAGTTTATTTCCGAACAATCCCACGAATAATTCCAGTCTTGATCTCAGTTCACTATGGCTGACGCTGAGAATGGAAGTGGCGGCAAAGTGCCACTCAAACGAGTGTGGTACCGCACCTCCCTTTTCAATGCCTGCGTGATTGGTGCTGTTGGCTTTCTCGCCCCCGGGCTATGGAACGCCATGAACTCCCTGGGAGCCGGAGGCGAAGAGAAACCTTTTCTGGTGAATGCCGCCAACGCACTGGTTTTCGGGCTCATGGGCATTTTCTGCATCTTCGGCGCGCCCATCGCCAACCGGATTGGACTGAAATGGGCCCTTCTCCTCGGCGCCGCCGGCTACCCCGTCTACGCAGCCGGTCTCTACACCAACAACCGGTTCGGCAACGTCTGGCTAGTTCTGGTCGGTGCCGTCGCATGTGGCATTTCGGCCGGTCTCTTCTGGGCCAGTGAAGGCGCCATCGCAATCGGATACCCTGAACCATCGAAACGAGCCCGATACCTCAACATCTGGGTCTGGTGGCGCACCCTCGGACCCATCATCGGGAACTCAATTGTCCTGGCCCTCAACATTAAAAACAAAGACAAAGGAAGCGTGGGATACTCCACCTACATTGTCTTCATCGTGCTACAATGTCTCGCCGTCCCCGTCGCTTTACTCCTCACCCCGCCCAACAAAGTCCAACGCGCCGATGGCTCCCCGGTCATCCTTCGGGTCGAGGACTCGTGGAAAGCGGAATTCCAAGCCCTCTGGAAAACATGCAAAAACCGCACCGTCATCCTTCTTCTCCCTGTTTTCTGGGCCGTCTACTTCAATGAGTACTCGAGTAACTTCGAAACGTACTATTTTGGGGTCCGGGCTCGTGCGCTCATCGCTTTCCTCTCCGACTGGGTCACCATCCTTGCTTCGCAAATCATTTCTCACTGGCTGGATTGGAAGCGTATCGACGCTAAGAAACGTCTCACGTACGGCTGGTATTGGGTCATCATTGTGCATGTGACGGCGTGGATTCTTGGCTGGGTTGTGCAGGAACAATATACATCAGCCCATAAAAAGAACCCTGATTTGGGGACGATGGATTACACTAGTCCGGGGTTCACTAAGGGCGCGTTTGTCCTCTTCATGTGGACGTTTGCGCAGCAGACGGGCCAGAATTGGTTGTATTATTTGGTGGGAAGCATGACCGATAATATCGCCGAGTTGACCAGGTTGACAGGTGTGTTGCGCGGTCAGGAGAGTTTTGGTGAGGCGATTTCTTACGGATTAAATACGAGGGATTGGTATGGTGGACGGGTGCCGATGGCTGTGAATACTATTTTGCTGGGTAAGTGGGATTGATATCTGAAGAAGAGGCTGAATACTGACCGGCTTTTCTAGGGTTGTGTGTTATTCCGACATGGATAGTTGTGAAGAATCACGACATGGAATCCACAGGCGAGAGGGAGTTGGAGGTGGATCGACGCCCCGTTGTGGATGAGAAGGGGGTGGTTGATTTGGAGGTGAAGGAAACGGGAGTTCATTGATCTATTTATAGCAGATCAGATTAGATGAGCAGAATGTCCTTGATGATACTATACACTAATATAATATTTTCCTGACAGCATACTTTAGTCCACTGAGGATAGTAGATCGGAGGAATGGTCGGCCAACGGCCGGGCCAAGTAACGGACCCTACTCCGTGTTGGTGGTTCAATCCTATCTATCCCTCAGGGGCCGAAGCCGATCCTTCCTCCGCTGGCTTACGTCCTGTTCCCCACAGTGTCTGTCACACATAGATGATGGATGGACCCTGAACCTCCTATTCAATTGCATCGCCATGCTATGCAATTCGTGCCGGTCCATCTACTGGCCTGTTTTACCTACAAACGGCAAAACCCGCAGGGTCGATCCCAATTTCCCTAAATCGACGAACAATGAGAAAGGTCGGCTAATCGACCGGCCAATGGACCGAGCATGAATAGTATATTTAAAGCAAACCCAACCAGGGACCCCTACAGGAAAATGTCACAGAAGCAGAGGGAAGCATTGCGTCTCAACCGAGATTCCAAGGATGAAATTGACACTACCGGTAGTATTCTGCTCGCTGGCGGCAGCATTCGATGTTCCCAGTCATGGACCGTCTCAAGCCTCCCACCGTGACACATCCTCATTTATCCATCCAGGCCTCCTTCAAACAGCCTCTGATTTCTCACGCATCACCTCCAAAGTATCCAGCAACACCGAACCCTGGATATCAGGCTGGTACAAATTGACCAACAGCTCCAACATCAACCTAGACTACACGCCCTCCCCAAAGACAATCGTCTATCGCGGCGCAGATGGCACCCACACCGAGAATTATCCCTCTCTGTACAGAGACATAGCAGCCGCCTACGCAATGGCCATCTACTGGAAAGTAACCGGCAACACGAGCTACGCGGACGTTGTCGTGAACATCCTCGACGAATGGAGCTCCACCCTTACCGAGATCTCTGGCACAACCGACATGTACCTCGCCGCAGGCATATACGGGTACGAATTCGCCAACGTCGCCGAGATCATGCGCACGTATTCCGCATGGCCGAGTGCTAATTTGACCCGCTTTGCGAACATGATGGTCGACGTCTTCTATCCCCTTAATCATGATTTCCTGCAGAATCACCATGGCGCCGCTGTTGATCATTACTGGGCAAATTGGGATTTGTGCAATATTGCCTCCGTCTTGTCTATTGGCGTGTTGACTGATAATCAGACTATGTTCGATGAGGGATTGACTTATTTCAAGTCTGGTGAGGGAAATGGCCAGATTGAAAAGGCCATCTGGAAGCTGTATGAGGTGGATGGGGAATCCCTGGGTCAGGGTCAAGAGGCAGGGCGTGATCAGGGCCACTCGATGTTGGATTTTGCTCTCCTGGGGCCTATTGCCCTGACGGCGTACAATCAGGGCACAGATCTGTTTGAGTATTTGGATAATCGCATTCTGGCTGGGTGAGTAACCTTCCACCCACTCTCTCTCCTATACTTGGTTTATCTTCTTCTTCCCCTATCCTTCCTCTCAGTATGGAATACATCAAACTTACAATGAAATTAATTAGTGCGGAATACGTCGCCAAATACAACCTTGGCAACGACGTTCCCTACACGACCTACAACAACAGCGACGACGTAAACCAGACGGTTATCAGCAATTCCAGTCGTGGAGATGTCAGACCCATTTGGGAGCTGCTGTATAACCACTACGGTGTACTCAAGGGACTGAATGTTACTTACACGAAGGAATATCGCGATTTGGTCGTTGAGGATGGCGATGGAGCAGAGGGCGGTGGTGGCGATTATGGAACTACGAGTGGTGGGTATGATCAGTTGGGATGGGGGACGCTGTTGTATACTCTTGAATGAACGAGATGGAGATCTACTGCTGCTTGAGGTTCTTCACCTCTTCATCCCCAGGAATGCCTGATGTGTGGATCTTCGGGACTCAGCGTCATGTAACATTTTAGAGGCGGTGATTTGGCATGTGAAAGTCGAGATTATCGTCAATCGACAGTACTGATGGTTTGTAATGGTTGAGGTTGGGATAGCTGGGCCATAAAGTTGCGACCGAGATGAGATGTAAGCGAAAGCGCCAGCAACGTTACAGTATGGACCTATGGTTTCAAGCGGCTAAATTCCAAGTGGTCGCCACGAGGACGCAGTAGTCACAAGCCCTGGCACTAGTTACACCGTCTCTGGCAGTAAGATACTAAGTTACTAGGAAAGGTGCGAAGTGTATATGCTCACTAAGCTGCCCACACTAATGGTATCTATTACTTTTCAAATGTATTGAGGCTATACAACCTCCCAGAAGACGCTGAGAGGCTATATATACGTATGTGTATATGCAAAATGACCAACCAGGGTCTTGGCTCTGCCACCCTCCAGGCTAGCTTACTCCTCACCCCCGTTTCATATCCTTCATCGCCTCCTCTACCAACCAGCAACTCACGTCCTGTGCATCTTGGCCCACGCGCCAACTGCCCAGCACCACGCCTTGCTTTTCCAGAAGTTCTTGGGCGCGTTCCCAGCGACGTCGCCATAGTTCCTCTCGTTTGTTGGGCAAAGGGGCTGCTGGGACCGCCGTTGAGTTCGGAGTGCTACTGTCGACGCTGGTGCTGGACCTGCTTGCTGAGGAGTTTGGCTGGGCCGGTCGGAGAATGTTCGATGGGGTTGGAGACCAGTTCAAACGGTCGGAGGCGTACTGTAGCGCTGCTGTGGCTGCTGTGGCTGCGGATGCGGGGTATGATTGTTTCGGGGGAAGGGGTGGGGGTGTTGGGCGGTTTGTAGTTTGCTGTGATGAGATAGAACCCGGGGTTGAAGTTCCTGTGTTGGTTCTGCGTGGTGGAGGAGGTGGCGGTGCTTGCTTTGAGCGTGTCGACCTCGTGCCAGTCCCGTTGTCGTTGGAGATATCTTGTAAGCTAGGTTTAGGGCGTAAAGGCATTGGTCTCGCTATATTATTCACAGGCGTATTATTTTCGGTATCAACTATGTTGTCGGATGAAATATCGGGCTTAGTGGAAGAGCGGCGTGGGGGTAGTGGTGGCACAGGTTTTCGTTTGGCTGTTTCTTGAAGTGAAGGCTGATCGTCTTTGCTCATGTCTGGATTAGTCGAGACTGAGCGCAACGCGGAGGGCTTGGAAGGTTTCGCGGGTGGTCCGCGCCCGGTGGAGGGCTTCTTCACATCAGCCAAAGACATCTTCTGTTCCACCTCGTCGCTAAGGTCAATCAAATCAGCGTTGTCTAGGCTTACGGCATCCGCGGACGGATCAGCCGTTTCCACGGGCCGCCGAGGTGGTAATGCCGGACGTTTAGACACGGCATCAGAAGTTTCCACAAGTTGCGGACTGCTGCGGCTCCGGTTCAAATCATGTTCCAAGTGGTCCACTGATTTCTCGAAGAACTTCTGTCGATCGGTGGTGGTAACGTCGCGAATGAAGATTCCAAGAATCCGTCCCGGGTTTGCTAGAACGATATCGGTATATACCTCCAAATCCGCTTCACCGCTGTCTCCAACGAGAATGAACTTGCGGGTAGGAAAGTCTCTCAAAATCTGCTCCAAAGAGCCCCTCTTCCTTTCCGCCGTAGGCTCGAATATTCCCTGAAGCATACCACTGTATTGTTTCAAGTGGAATGAACCCGGGGGCAGGCCGGCGAGCTTAAAGTAGCGTTCCAGAAGAGGATACAGTTGCCAGGGGGCATTAGAGACATAGTGCAGGTCGACTCCCATTTTCGCCAGCTTGCCATACCAGTCAGTAACACCGTCAACCGTCAACTCGTTCAGTTCACGGACGAAGGTGTTGCGAAACATCTCTTTGGCCCCGCTAGCAATAGCAGAATGTTTTACCGTGTCGTCGATATCGCTGATCAAGCTAACGCCCGTGGGCTCGATGACCTTGACTTCCTTCACAGCCGAGAGATCCTCGGAGGCTAGCACACGGGCGTGAGTCGGGATAAAAGGTAGCGACGCTCGTAGGCGAAAGTGACCGGACTCATCGGTCATCACGCTCCTCGACTGGCTTTTGTCGTTGTTGAAGAAGAAGACAGTGACGGGAATTCCTGTGACCGGGTTCGTCAAGAAAGGGCGTAATCGCTCCAGAAGGTGCGCATTGGCGACGGAGAGTTCATCCTTGCTCAGCGGTGCTGTTGCTGCCCTCTGGAGAGGGCGTCCGGGAGTATTTTGGGCATCACGGTTTTCTGCGCTGTCTTTCCATACGGGATCAGCCTCCCTTTCAGCCTGCTTAATGATCGATTGTGCCTGCGTATTGACCAGCTCTTCGTCCCCCTTCTCAGTCCTAGAGTCATTTGCGTTATGTTCATCACCATCATTCGTGCTGTTCATAGGAGCTGGTACTCCGCTGAGCTTTCTGGCGAGAGCGACCATCAGACGATGTTTTCGAGTCATCGGCCCGCGATGAGGTGCGTATACCCAGCCACGCACATCGACTGCGACGATCGCATTCTGGTCTTCCAGCTCATCCCATATCGGCATGCCTGTGCCAAAGCCATCTGACTCGCCCCGATACTCCTCAATGGTGGCATTTGATCCTCGACGGCGGCTATAGTATGAATCCACATGCTCATGTTTCACCAATCGCCTCGCATAGCTCGGGAATAACACCATCTCTTCAAATTCGGATCGCGCAATCTCAACGTCCGGGAATGCGCCCGGGGTATCACGATAGTCGTCATAGTCGCTCTGGCCACCGATCTGCGCCGACCATTGCGCAGCATAGGTTTGGCGCAGCTCATTGGCAGCCTTCAAGTAGTCAAAGACCTTCTTGCGGCGCGCTCCCCTCTCCCGCCCAGTACTAGAGCCCCATGCCGATGAGGATGAAGGCTCGTACTGTGACATTGGCGTGAGGCCTGAGCTCTTGGTTCTTCCAGCTCGCAAAGCCCCGGTGCTTTGCGCCAGCCTTCTATGTACAAGACCACCCGTCGCAGGAGCTGTCCGACCAGCCAAGCGGTTCCCCTTTTTGTTCAGGTAACCAAGGATACCCTTCCGATCAGATTCCCGATTGCGTGCGAGTCTCGCCTGCCGCTTCACCAAGGCCCGGTATAGCCCCGCCTGTGCTCGATGTCGAAGAGCGGGGAGTGTTTCGTGACGCAGACTCCAGAGACGAGATTGTGCACGGGTAGGGGCGTGCGGACCGAACAGGAAGCGAAGGAAATGGCGAAAGAGTTTGCCTGTTCGCGAATGGCGAGCTGCAGGAAAGCGGAGGGGCGGAGGAGGAAGGGGTGGCCTGATGGGGGCCCGAGGGGAGCGCCAGCGAAAGCGAGGGAGTTGTTGGGGCGCCACGGTAATTAAATATATTCAGGGAGATATATAGAAGATGATGGTGGTATATGAGTGAAAAAGAGAATGGACGATGGGAGGGGGGGGGTAAGTGAGACGATGTGGGCTGTTCCTGAATGACTTCATTTCGTGGGAATCCTCCACTCCTGGCAAGGCTAGTGCACGTGATCGGGTGCAGCTATACCTAAGACATGTTATTATTATAGGTATGCCATATTGACTTTCTCAGTACTAGCGAAAAGTAGAACTCGTACTTACGAAGTTACCAAATTTGTAATATCTCCTCTATTTCATTGGGGTGTCTCTGCCACTCCCCTATACATTAGCATCTGCAGGTCACAGCTAGCTAAAACTTCCGAATGTGATGATATCTGCAGAGGGACAATGCGGCCAGTCTGAGCTCGGCCCGATCTCTAACAGCTAACAGTACAGAGTAGCTTAGTGAGGAAACTAGCAGCTAGCTAGCCTGCTACTTTAATAGCATTACCTTGTCCACCTAGATAGACTAGACCCTGACATCTCCCCGCATTCTGAACTCAACTGAACACCCACTACTGCAATTGACTACAACATACAGTATGTCAACAACATCATCATTGTACCAGGTCGTAGCAGACCTCGACAAGCAAGTTCATCCACCCTTCTATTTCCATTCAATTCAATTCAATTCAATCCCATCTAACCTCCCCAACAGCTTCCCCTACCCCACCACCAACGATGCCGACAACCCCATCCTGCAAAACTACCACGCCTTCAGGATCACCGGCATCCCCCAAACCCTAGGCTACATCCCCAACGAGCTAATAACCACCTTCCCCTGGCCATCAGACACCTGGGCCATTAATACCACTCCCTCCAGCAAAACAATCACCCTCCTCACGCCTCCCACCGCAACCGCCTCCACCCGCACCGCCATCCTCCTCCCCACCCTCCAGCAACTCGCCTCCCACGGCATCCTCCGCGGCTGGCGCAACGAGACCTTCGCCCTCTACGGCCCAGACGGGTCCGTCATCCTGGAAATAGAACGCGCCGCAAGCGCCCTCTTCGGGATAGTAACCTACGGCGTGCAAATGCTCTGCTACACCGATGACAAAGTCTCCAACACACCGCACCTCTGGATCGCTAAACGCTCCTCCCTTAAACAGACCTACCCCGGCATGTTAGACACCACTGCCGCGGGGGGACTAAGTACAGGGTTACCACCGAGGGAGGCCATCATACGGGAAGCGAGCGAGGAGGCGGAGATCCCGGAAGAGTTGATGCGGAAGGAGATGAGGTTTGTGGATCGGATTTCGTATTTCCATGTTAAGAAGGAGAGCGTTGGGGGGATAGGGATGGTGGAGCTGTTGCAGCCCGAGGTGGAGTATTTGTATGAGCTGAGGTTGGGGAAGGAGGTAGTTCCAAGTCCGGCAGATAATGAAGTGGAGGATTTTAGGCTGTGGGGGGTAAAGGAGGTGAAGAAGGCGCTAGGGGAGGGGAGGTTTAAGCCGAATAGTGCGGTGGTGGTGGTGGATTTCTTGTTGAGGAGGGGGGTGTTGGATGGTAATGATGAGGATGAGAGAATTCGCGTGAGGTTGCATAGGGAGTTGCCTTTACCAGTGGTGGATCATGAGGGGGGAAGAGTATAGTAGTTCGTATATTAGTATTAAAGATATGATCGATTATGGATGCATTTTGAATCGATTAAGGCGGAAATCTATGTATAGAATGTAGTTCCCAACCATCTATCTATTTTATAACGCACCGTAGTAACAACCCGAAAACGAAACCGAGAATGGAACACACATATTACCATCAGGGCATCAAGTAACATGCTCCTTCTCCTCCTCCTTGGGTATTCTCACCGACGTAACCGTAACCAGCGCTGCCAGCAACTGACACGCCAGTGCGAACCACCAAATAGCACGCAGTCCAGTAAGCCCAACACTCCCATCAGCCTGCTTATCAACCCGCGTGCCAATCGCATCCGCCACACTGGTGATAATCGCCGACGACAGATTCTGGTTCGTAACCAGCAGACTCCCCGCACTGCCCTGGTACGAGCGCGCCACATTACTAGTGATGAAGATGGAAGCGGCTGCGAAAGCCAAATCGGGGCCAAAGGTAACAAGCGCCACACCAGGAAGAGACAGTTCCCAGTACGTAGTGGTAGGGCTCTGGGGAAGGAAGAAAGCAGGTCCGAGCGTAAAGGCGAACATAGAGATAGTGTAGATGTAGTGGCCCGGGACGAGATGCAAGGTGCGGCTGACCACCCAGGTGGCGATGACGCCAAAAATGGCGTTTGGGAGGTGGTATAATGCCACATCGATGGGACTGGCGTGCTGGATGCGCAGCCAGAACTGGATGGCGTAGAATTGCCAGGCGCCGAAGAAGGACCCGAAGCCCAGGAAGTAGGCGATCATGAGCGGGGTGAAGCCCTTGGTATTCCAGAGGCGGTTGGGGATCAGAGGGCGTGGTACGTAGCGCTCCACGATGAAGAGGCCGATGAGTAGGACGATGCCTACTGCGGTGAGCACGCAGGTGTATACGGACCAGTCGGTGACGCCACCCTGGGTCAGTCCAAAGAGTAAGCAAACACAGCCGCCGACGGCGAAGGCGGCGCCAAGGTAGTCGAACTGGCGCAGCGAGGGCACCTCGCCTCCGGCGGAGTCTGCCATAGGGCGCAGCGGGGGGATGGAGAAGTAAGCACCGACAGCACAGATGGCGGTGATGATGGCGTTGCAGCCGAAGATCCATGGAAGGTTTTGATAGAGGAGACCGCCTTCGATGGCGCCCAGGGAGAAGCCAAACGGGGCGCAGGCGGCCATGGCGGAGAAGACGCGGTTCTTGCGAATGCCTGGCTTGTAGACGCGGCCGAGAATGCTCATGCTACCGGAGACCAAGACGCCGATGGCCAGGCCCTGCATGGCGCGCACCACGAAGAAGAGCACATAACGGGAGGGGTGGACGGAGAAGGCGCCAATGATGTTCCAGACGCTGAGCCAGAGGAAAGCGCCGACCATAAGGGCTTTGGGAGGCGTCAGGTCGGTCAACGAGCCGGACACCACGACGGACAAGCCATTGGCGACGTTGAAGGAGCCGACAAGCCAGGGTAGCTCGGTATTGGTGATGCCGAGGGCTTGCCGGAACTGGAGCTGCGGAGCGAGCACATCTCCGAGGAGGAACGAAAACAACATCAGACCTGCGGAGCAGACCGCGATCAACACGATCTCGGCACCGAAACTGCTGATTTCTGGCGGACGACCCTGGGTGGGCTTAGGGGGTGGGGAGCCGGCCTCGTCGGGGAAGTCCCTGCCCTGAGCTGCGACCATAGAAGGCCGGCGGTAGCTGAGGTGCTGGCCATCGGTAGGATCTGTATCGCCGCGACTGTGTCGTGCCACAGGCAACTCATAAGATTCGTCTTCACTGTCATCTCGCGCGTGTGCAATAACCTGGGGGAATTTCTTGAGCGTGTCGTCGTGGCCGGCGAGGTGGGCGTACAAAGGATCCGGGGTTTGAGCTCCGGTCGCGGGGGTGGAGGCGAATTTACTACTGCTGGCCTGGTCGGTCAGTGAGAGCGAGGATCGCCGAGACAATGGAGCCGAGTCCAGGCTGTTCTGCGTCACTTCAACAGTGGTCTTGTTCTTGTCGTTGTTCGGACTCGGGGATCGGGAGGCATCATCCCGGGTCGGGTAGGGCTGGTCGGACGGCATCCTCTGTAAAGACACAACCACCGGGGTAAAAAAAGAACGATTCGGCACAAGGACTACTGCACTTCAGGGTCCTGATCCGCCTGCGGTCTGGTGATTGTTTTTAAGGGATTTCGGGATAAGGTCTCCGTCACCGCTGAGGCAAAGTGGACCGGGCCAGCGGAGTATCCAGGGCGTTTCTTTTGCTTTTTGGCTCTGGAGATTTATAAGGCGCTGAAATAATGGGCAGCAATGAGCCGTCATCCATCGTTGTGAACTCGGCCTCCAGCCAGTCCCAGGCCGTTTGATAAACCGAGCCGTGGCCACACAGTGACGCTAGCGATAAGATTTTGCACCGCTAACAGCAATGGTGGGCTGGAATCCCTTGCGGTGGTTTGCGCGTCGCTCATCCGTGTGGATCCCAAGCATCCATGGTTGATTCACGGCTGATCTGGCCCAGTTTTAATCGGATTTCAATTTCCAGAAAGCTGCTGGTTTATCGCGTGCTGCTGCTGTCAGTCGCTCTGTTGCCACCTAAATGCCCAACTCGACAAGATGGCGTTTTGCGGTGTGCGATGAAGCCGCAGCGATGTCGCCATATCAGTGACTCACGATAAGTGCGCAGTAGACAGCTGTGCCAACTGTAAACGCACTGACCATGTTCAATCGGATTCTGGCTGGTATGTTGCATCGCACAGCTTTTGCGTCTGGCTTTCAGCATTCCCTCCCCAGGTTTGATGATCGACAGGGCCGCATCATCGTGTCGCAAACTGATCGGTCGGATCGGCGGAACTATTCGAGGCTGGGGATAGGATGGGTTGGGATTGCGTCGGATGATTGCCCGGCTGCGCATCTCATACTTGTCGATCATCCGGGTCATGCACATGGAGTGGGAGCTCCTGAGCTTGCCATTCGTTTGCTGTTCTCTGAGCTGGGTTTTCCAAAGGCAGGTACCAGCCAACGTCGGCATGTCAGCTTAGGCAGCAATGACCGGCATGCCGGGGCTCTGCTGAGGATGTTAAGAAGTATCTTCCATGAAACACCAGCTCCCCCGGGCCGCGGAGGATCGATACACTGGAGAGCGAGGGCTCCTGGTTGAGATCGACCATCCCTGGGTTAGCACTATCCCCTTAAGGGGCTCCCTCTGCAGTGATGTGATTCTCCGCCGGCGATCAAAGTATTTCTGAGTCGCCTGTTTTCTTGCTTGTTTTGCTTATTTCGCGCCGTTAGCGAGTCAATGGTCGGGTGTTGTTGCTTTTGGGTACTACTAACGTGCGTCAGCGATCAGGGAGAAGCTTGGTACGGAGTAGTCTCTGGCATTTATGATACGCACTCGCTGCGGTCGCGGGAACCGATCCAGCCACTATGCAGCCACTGTGTCGTCTAGAAGCAAGGGATGATAGACATTTAGGAGGATTGCGGGAATTTCAGAGTGACGAGTCCCACTGGGGATTGAATGGTACTCAGAGGAATTGACGCAGACTCACATATCTTCTTTGCCGTGCCGTAGATTTGTCCCATGCGAGGTGGCTGTTCCTGCATCGCACAAGCTGCCAACATGAAACTCCCCTGGCTTTGTTTGCTTTTGATTCCTTTGGCTAATCCGCACTACTGCGCATAGTAAGTTGTTGTGTAGCCATCGAGGATTCATCATTCCGAACCGACCGTGCGACTTGCCAGATGACATTCACTACAGTTCAATATCGAAAGGAGGCCTTCTCTCGAAGGAGTAACTATGCTCCGGTTGTTCTCCTTATTTTTAGAGCCAACAAAGCAATGTATGCTCGGCTTGTATGGATGTCTTCCTTGGTTCAATGCCTACAGCGGACTACCGGCCTGAAAAGTGACTAGCAGAACAAGCGGAGAATTGCCTCGCTGGTGAGATTTCCATAGATCCAGCCCATGTGCGCGATGACATTTGCGATCGCAGCAAGTCATCCGAGTACTTCCGATCTGCTTGGGTCCATGCAGGTGATATTGCTGGCATTTCATATTACCGATCGGCCTTTCAGAATTTGTCACGAGTATGTAGATCTCACTCGCATCAAAGGGGTGGCCTAGTGTCCCGGTGAAAAGAGTTGGCCTAAAGGGCATATATAGTAGGCCCCACTGCTGCATATCTGGTCACCTTTGGCTTATATCTATGACTACCATTGCTTTTGCCGAAGTAGCTGGCAACTTCACGCCCCTAGACTCGTTCCTGATGGCTTACTATTTGTAGTGTTGCGATAGCATGAGAGCTAGTGCCCTACAGCTTGTTACCCGATGCAGGGATATCACCTCCGCCGCTCATCAACAAGTCAAAAATGGAAGACACGACTTCCTGGCTTTATCGGCAATGATAAAAGAAGGGTGTGACATACTATGCAGACGGAGCATTGGTAAAAGCTTTTGGTCACAGGAACCCCGGCTCACTATCACACAATGACGGCTGTGAGTTCATGTTTGCTGACCGAGGCTGAGGAGGGCTGTTTTCTTTGATAAACTATGCCTTTCTTTCCTGCAGCATGTTATCTTTCAGCTAGGGCCAATGGAAAAATAAAGAAATCAATCCCGATATGGAGTTTCTCTTTCTGCACTACAGTGAATGATGGTAGCCAGGCCTGCATCAGAGCACAGCAGGGGGAGAGAGATTACCATTCTTAATACCGCACTAATCCGGCTCTCTAACCAGATAATGGCAGGTTTTGCTGCTCAACTTCATCTTTTTCCATTCCCCTCTTCTGTGTTGACTACTCCCCAGATCAATCTTCAGGCCTTTATTCTCCTGGATGTACCTCGCGCCCCATTTTCAGCTCCTACATTGTCTTTAAATCCTCCCTGTGCTGCTCCCGGGCGAGTCCTAATCAGTCTGTCCTCTTTGTGCCTCCAGACTTATCATCAACTCGCTGCATCCGCTATGATAGTAATCACCTGCGTCGTGTTTTCTCGTTCCAACATTGTGCTCACTAATTGTTTTGGGAGCTCGACCGGGTCCCTGTGCCAGCCAAACTACGTTGGAAAGATTACTAATTTTTTCTGATA